AATTCTGCCACTGGACCATTACAGTACATACGCATCGCAGGCGGATCTATATATATATATTCACGTAAAAATTCACGATACTAACAACATTATATTAGATCTTAATATAATATTAAATTTAAACCCAAAGTACCATCACATTTTTGGTCGGACATCATCACATCTTTGTATACATTTTTATTTATTTAAATCAGTAAGCTACAGGACATCGGCGTCTTTCAAACCATGACCTGCGCGAAAGAGAAAAAAGAATGAACGCGTCATTGTACCCAGCACTTTTGAAAATGCCCTTCCGAATGCGTCTCTGTCCCCCCCACATTTCAAACCAAACTGACGCCCATGGGGCAACTCGAAAATATATACGATTTAGCAAAACGTAAATAATAAATAAATAAAAATTTCGAAAAATGTGGCGAAGGGGGCCTTTGAGACATCCGTGCCCTGGGCACATATCGCCATAATCCGTCCCTATGAGATAGGACCATTTGTGGTGTAAGCAAATTTATCCGTGCAGCTTTTAGTGGGCAATTTAGGAATTATTGGAACGTTGGAGTGGAAAAAGAAGCAATGATGAATGATACACCACAAAAATCTTCAGCTTTTAGTTTTATTGTTCATAAAAAAAAATATTTAAAAAATTAAAAAAAACTTTGGGTAAATAGTGTCAAATGAATCTAAAATTCTAATTTAAAATTTTAGATAACCTTTCTAATTTTAATATTCCACAAAGCAGGTTATGTGACATAGGGTATGTTTAAAGGGACACTGTGTAGGTTTTTAGGTATTTTATTATCTGAAATCAATATTTTTATTCATAAATATGTCCTCAATGGTGTACAAATACCTCTGCAAATTATCTGACTTATCCTCGTAAATGAAGAATTTATTATCTTTATGTACATGGGACGGGTAGGTTCACGGAGGCTTCCATGTCGTTCCGCAATCTTGAAAAACTATAATAGCAGAGAGGGTCAAAAAGTACCAACCAAACGCGTTTCCACAACGCGTTTTCGTTCAGACTCAGAGCCAGCGTCACGTGACTGAAAGCAGCAGAAACGGAGGAGGAGAGCAGTGAGAGGCGCATTCCCGGCAAGTTTAAACGGCTGTATTGCACTCCTATAATTGCTGATCGCTCTATTATTTGTAATGGCGGACCATACATATGCCGAGCCACAGGAGAAGACATCCTCGTCCCAAAAAAAGGCCAGACTTGAACGAAAAAGGAAACGTGACCGGAGATTGCAAAAAAAAAAGAGTAAATGTCGGGATAGCGTTTTCAAGGTGGAAAGAGCTAATGCAGCAGAAAGATTTCAGAAGAGACGCTGAAGTTGCCTGCTTTCTCCTCGACAGCTAAGTCAATGTTACAGTCTTAATTATTTTTTTTTGTCATTGCTTGGTTGTGTACTTTATTATATAGACAGTATAACATTTATAGTCAAAAAAGTTAAACAGGCTCTTTGATGAATAGCAGCTATTGATTACTTTACTCAATAGCTGCTATTTAGAAGGTGCTAAAAACAAGGTTTGTAAGTTTACTCTTTATAACCTATAAATTCAGTAAGAATATAGAGATAGTGATTGTTTTTGCATGGTTTGCACACCTAAGGCTACTTCAAGTTTTTAATATTAGCTCAAGTTGTGAATTTGCTATGTGCATAAGATTGTACTGAGAATTACAATTAATTTATACTACTGCTAGACACATAAATTGTACAAACCTCGGTCGTTTCTCTTCGCTGCCTTTGGAAACTTTCAATTCTATTTTGATCGTCTCTTGTAGCTGCCGGGCATCTTTGTCGTCGTTGTGTTGACTCTCGCGCTCCTCGTCGTCCATCTCCTCGCCTAGATCCCACTGATCCACTGCCTCTCTGTCCTCTTCCTCTCCCTCTACCTCTCCCTCTTCCTCTCCCTACTGCTGAATCATCCGATGATGATATCTAACAATCACGTAATTTAGAAAATATAACGAATAAAGGCGGCATTACTACTAATTACAACAGTTCATGTTTTTCAGTGTGGTCTTATGAGTTGCTTTATTCAGCAACTCATACTGTAACATTCGTTTGTTCGTTGTGTCATGTTGCTGTTCACCCGGAGAAAAACTCGATGAAGTCTTTACTACAAGACATCCTGTCATAGCATTTTTGGTACATAACGGCAACCGTAGATGCAATACGCACTTGAAAAAGCGAGGCGCTGGAGAGCAAAATTCGTTTGAATGCAAAATACTATTTCACCACTAGATGGGGGTAATTCTTACTTAGTGTCCCTTTAAGGGTAAATAAGCGGATAACCTCAACTTTCGGTTCCAAAGACAGAGGCAAATTTCAAGGTATGTAAGTAGTCATAGCAACTCTCTGAACATAACCTCCTCCGGAGCAGGATCTGTTCCTGGGTTACTTCAGTGTTCAGTTTACTTCAGTGTTCAGCTCATGTGTGCTCTATTGATAAGGCTCCAGTGGGCGTGACAGATTGCGCACAATATTATATAGTTATATATCGATATAAAAAGTGCTATTAAAACAAGGTAATGTTCATTTTATTATAATATATAGGCTAGCTATATAATTATCATCTCACAAATCGTTGATCTGCATTCAGACGTTTGTTTTTATTTTTGCATCAGGACGCTTCTATGCTATGTATATAAAAGACATATGATATGATATATCTTATCTTTCAAGCAATGTGGAAGCAAAATTACTAAACAAAAAATAGACTTATACAGACATGTTAACTTTGCCAGCACACACTGTTATTTGCTTTAATCAGTCTTTCTTTTATTATATGATTAGCATCAAACAAACATTATTCACAGTGATTAAAGATTATTAAATGAAAAGATTGAAAAACGATTGCACAACCACCAAATAGGTGGCGATATGCACTAAGTATGTAAATCAGCATTTAACAAAAGAAGAATAAAGAAGTAGTATAGCGCTTTTTCTTAGCGCCCGTTGTCATGGCTCGATTCGTCTCTCTGTTGAGAATGTCTGGTGTGTTAACCGTGAACATACTCTGAGTTGGATGAACTTACTCCGGGATGCGTTTTTGGAACCAGCATACCTCGGGTAAGCAAGGTTTGGTTTAATAAAGAGGTATGGGTATGTTTGACAGTAAGATAGCCTGCTTTCTGGAATACACCCCAGATCCGTGCTGTTGAAACATCGGCTAAAAACTCTAACACGGTGAAAACAAGCCATCAATACAGAACTTTATTGACCAACAGGCAGAGCCATAAAAATAATTTAAACTTTCCTTTGAGTCTGGCAAAGAAACCAAAGCCAATGTGACTTTGGCTTTGGCAATGTGACTGGCTTTAAGCTAAAGAGATTATTGATTTTATTGACTTCCTATTGAAACATAGGCTATAATACTTTATTTGTAAATCTGTTATCTGTTGTTATAAAACTTTTAAAGAAAAACATGATGAATACCCTAATTGGTACAATGATAGTAAGTTTTTGTACAGAGTGGCTGTTGGCGTCTGTCACTGTGATCTTCTGGCACAATAATACACAGCTGTGTCTTGAGCTTGCATATTCTTTCCCTGCAGTGTTATTGTGTTACTGGAGGTGTCTCTGGTGATGCTGAACCGGCTTTTCAGTGAATCCTTGTAGTCTAAGCCTCCATTATAATCGATCAATCCAATCCATTCTAGAGCTTTTCCTGCAGGCTGACGAATCCAGGCTGTACTATAGCTAGTAACTGAATAGGAGACTTTACAGCTGACAGTTAGAGTGGCATCAGGACGGACAGTCAGAGACTCAGGCTAAGTGAGTTCATATGAATCTATACCTGTATCAAATGAAATAATACCTGTTAGTAAAATAGCATGAAGTGTAAAGACTGTTAATAACAAGCTTTTTTTTTTTTTTTTGCAGCAAAATGATGTTTCACACAGAAAAGTACACTAAACTTACAGGATACTACAGCCAGAAACACTTAAGATGAAGAGATCATGGTGTTTCACAGCACAGTTTGAATGGACTGAAGCGGTTCTTCCCTCCCTCTAGTGATCAGATGAATGTATAAACTGACTCATGCCTGGTGTTTAAATATATGCAACTGATGATTTACATAAACATACAGAGTAACTAACCAACTCTGCATGCTAAAAAATATTTATGTTACGTTCATATCATTTTTTTGCTTTCGTTAGAGAATTGTATGACATCAAGCTTGTTTTATCAAGATTTTTTTTTTCTCTACTGGACATTTTAAATAATTTTCCATCTACTTTTATTCTTGTTCAGGGGTTGATATAACTTATTGGAATATTGGAAAGCAACAATAGCAGTTGGACCCTTCATCAGAGAGTCTAAAGACCTCGCTTTTACCTGTAACAATGAAGCATCTGCCTGTAGTTCATTACTGTATTCGCTCTCATGCACAGTAAGATGCTGATATTCATTATTATATTCTGCCCTTTTAGACTCACTTTCACTTATAGACTCCTGGAAGAGTCTCTGGTTACCTGAAACATCAGCCCATTCTCATCCCAAGGCGTCATATAGGTGACGCTTTTTTGACATTCTTCAAAAACTGACGCACAGGGCACCCTTTAGCGTCAATATGAGACGCAGACCCAAGGCGTCATATAGGTGACGCTTTTGACATTTCGTCTAAATCCGACGCACATGGCCACCCTTTAGCGTCAATATGAGACGCAGATCCCAAGGCGTCATAACCTAACGCTACCCCAGACCTAAACCTACCCGTCTCATATTAACGCTAAAGGGTGCCATGTGCGTCGGATTTTGAAGAATGTCAAAATATGACAAAATATGACGCCTTGGGATGAGAATGCGTTGGAAACATACTTTTTAGTTTGTCACTGTAAAATGTGTAGCCACTACCACAAATCTATATCAAAAAAATATGTGTTGTGGTAAAGGAGTCAGATATATCTTTGTGCTGTAATGTTTGAGCATAGTGTACTTCACTGTAAATTTAACCGTAATATAATAGGCTATAATAATGCTGTGACAGTATCAGTGATGGTATATCTTCTCATTAGTCTGTATTTTCAGGATTTTTTATTCTCTGCTGCCACCTGTTGAACTAGACAAGAGATGAAACACTCAAAGTGTTTTTTGTTCAGCCGTGCAATAACTTTGTGTCACTGTGTTTGTTTTGCACAGTAATATGTGGCTGAGTCTTCTGTTGTCAGGCCCGACAGTTTCAGATGGACCATATTCTTTGAATTATCTCTAGTGATTTCAGTTCGTCTATTGAAGGATTCTGCGTAGTCATTTCCACTGCCATCACTATAAACACGTCCAATCCACACAAGAGGTTTTCCAGCTTGTTGTCTGATCCAGTGCATGCTACAGCAGTCAAAGCTGAACCCAGATCCTCTACAGGACAGAGTCAGAGTTTCTCCAGGCTTTTTCTGAACCGTGCTTTCAATGGACTCCATTTTTTGACATTTTATACCTAAAAGGAAGATTGAAAAGACTGATTTCATTTGAAATATATATGTATTAGAGCTGATAATAGAAATGTGTCTCATGAGAAAACTCACGGTATATGCTGAATGAGAGCAGCAGTAAGCAGAGTACATTCTTCATCTTGAAAGTGGTGATGTAGCTAACGCTCCAGATCCAGTCAGAAGCACATAAATACTAAGCAAACATACAGGATTCTTTAGATTTGCATTGGGAGGGTCACAAGGTACAATCATGACTGAAGGGCCAAATTATTTAAGAACAGTATGACATGAATGTGAACATATCCTTTCCGTTCACCATTGTCTTATACAGAATTCTCTGTAAATGGGACACAAATTAGAAATGTATTTTCTTCATTTAATTTTTTGTTTGTTGATTGTGTCACATCCACACATGTGCTCATGCTGTTTGCAGTGTCAACTAGATAACATGATATATTCATGCTGCTTGAATTGAACTGAATCAACAGAAAAGAGAATTGAACAATAATTAGTAATCTGATGTGGGAACCGGTGCATGTCAATGTGTGTTAAACAATGTTGTATCCATATTTTCCTATTGATGATTTTTTTTTTTAGAATTCACATGCTTCATTATTATTATATGCTTATCATTATTATATTATTATTATGTTTTTATAAGGATAGAATTGTTGTACTGAATTTTAAATATATTAAATGCCTTTGTATTATGATGTTATTTTTGTATGGGGAGGCTATTGGCGTCTGTCACTGTGTATATTTGGCACAATAATACACAGCTGTGTCTTGAGCTTGCATATTCTTTCCCTGCAGTGTTATTGTGTTACTGGAGGTGTCTCTGGTGATGCTGAACTGGCTTTTCAGGGAATCCTTGTAGGCTAAGCCTCCACCACTCCAGATCACTCCAATCCATTCCAGAGCTTTTCCTGAAGGCTGACGAATCCAGGCTGTATGATAGCTAGTAACTGAATAGGAGACTTTACAGCTGACAGTTAGAGAAGCATCAGGACGGACAGAGACTCAGGCTGAGTGAGTTCATATGAATCTATACCTGTTGGGGAAAATAATAATCATACAAAATTATTATTTACAAGCTTCATCCAAATCGGCAAGATAATTGTATGTTCAAAAAACTTACAGTTTACACTTGCCAGAATCAAAACTAAAACGGCAGAGAACATGGTGACGTTTTCAGGACAGATTGAATGAAAAGGAGCAGTTCTTCCCTTCCTCTAGAGATCAGATGAACTGAGTCATGTCCACTGGTGAATAAGAAACAAAACATTTACATATACATTTGTATTAGCTGTTGTTGTTTTACATATTAGCTTTTCCTTTAGTTTAATGACATCAAAGTAATAATTTTCAAAAACAAACATTTGTAGAATATCAGTAAAATCATTTTGAGTTGTTTTGACCTGAATACCCATTTTTAATTTGATCTTTCTTACATAATAATTATTATGCTTCTACTCCATGCACACAGAAACAGAATAAGCACTTCAGTTCATTGGCGGACACAGATCTGTGGATGAGACTCAAACAGTGGCTGAAAACTCCAATCCTTCCTCTAGGGCAACAGTAACACTGGGTCAGAACAAGCTCAAAACAGAACTTCACTGACCAACAGGCGATGAAAGCAAAGTGATGCAAGAGCTGATGGGGTCATGGCCTGAAATATTGACTTTTTGTTGATACAAATAATGCTGTATTAGTTTCTGTTAATGACGGTTTACAAATTATTTATTAGGTAATTATTGTTTTTACAAATGATTTGGTGTACATATATTTGAATGTCATCAAATGAATAGCAGCTGTGAGAGATTAACATTTTATGAATATAGCTTGTAAACCTTTGAGGACAAAATGATAAATACCCTAATGTGAATATGATGATTTTTGTACGGGGAGGCTGTTGGTGTCTGTCACTGTGTATATTTGGCACAATAATACACAGCTGTGTCTTGAGCTTTCATATTCTTTCCCTGCAGTGTTATTGTGTTACTGGAGGTGTCTCTGGTGATGCTGAACTGGCTTTTCAGGGAATCCTTGTAGTATAAGCTTCCACCAGAGTCGATAAATCCAATCCATTCCAGAGCTTTTCCTGCAGGCTGACGAATCCAGGCTGTATGTCCGCTAGTAACTGAATAGGAGACTTTACAGCTGATAGTTAGAGTGGCATCAGGACGGACAGTCAGAGACTCAGGCTGAGTGAGTTCATATGAATCTATACCTGTTGGGGAAAATAATAATCATACAAAATGATTATTTACAAACTTCATCTAAATCGCAAAGAGAATTGTATGTTCAAAAAAAACTTACAGTTTACACTTGCCAGAAGCAAAACTAAAACTGCAGAGAACATGGTGACGTTTTCAGGACAGATTGAATGAAAAGGAGCAGTTCTTCCCTTCCTCTAGAGATCAGATGAACTGACTCATGTCCACTGGTTATATCTGAAGAAAAAAATTTACATAAACACATGTATTAGTTGTTGCTTTTTTTTTCTTTAGTTAAATTATGTCACAAATCATAAGCTAGAATCATTGTGGCATGAAAACATTGATTTTTTTTACACAGAATGAAAATGTAAAGTCTATGCTTGCTGTCTAATGACATACAGTAGGCTAATAATCATGTTTTATATCATTGTCAAGATATAATCATTTAAATGGTGCATGGCTTTTTTTTTAGAGAAAATTCCCCAAAAAATTGCCAGGAGATTTATTGTAAGGGGTATACAGTCAAAGACCCAAAACCAGATATAAAGAATGAAGACCCGGAGTCAGAATTATAAAAAATGAAAGAAAAGTTTTACTGAAGATAGTTTCACCAGCAGAAGTCAGCTTCAAGACTCACACAGGAGTTCGTAGGCCGCCACGCTTACAGTTACAAAGATCACAGCAGTTATACCATTTCCAAGGTCTAAGCTACGTCATTGCTTACAGGTTGAATGATTCTCATTGGCTAAGAAACATGAAAGCCTAAACAATTTAACACATGTGAGAAGATAGGGGTGCCTATCGCCATTAGTCAAGATAGTTGTCGTCCACTCATTAGATTTAGGTCTGTGGTGGCCTCGCAGGTTAGAGAAGGGCGCCGGGTTGTCTGGTCCGAACGTCCAGAACCTACATAGAATGTCATACGCACACACACAAATAACAGACACTAGCAAATAACAGCTCCCATCAAGGCTGAAGAGAGTCTGAGCTCCTTATTATCAGTTAAGTATACCAAAACATAATGCTAAAACATTCACTCGTTTGGGAGAAAAACAGATAACTGGCATTTACTCCCAAGGAAGGAAATATACTGGAAAGAATACATTCGAATACAACAATTAAAGTTCGATAGTAACGCTCAATATAGCTTGACCATATGTCCAACGAAGGATCATATGTGTCCACGCTGCCTTTAGGACCCTCTATAAACCTTTCTACTGATCCCAGAGAAAGAGACAAACAGCCTTGTGGGTTACGTGGCCTTCGTGTCCTGCGTGTACTACGTGCAATCTCAAAGTAAGATTGGAATGCACCTAAAAGAAACTGGTTACTTACATCACATACATTTAAAGGGGTCATATAATGGTACATGCACTTTTACAAGTTGATTGTACTGAAATGTGTGTTGGCAGTGCCTGTACACAACCATCATATAATGATAAAAATCCATCCAGTGTTTTTGTTTTAATCTCCTTATATGTTTTCCCCTGCCTCAAATTGAGCCGTTCGTTTTTGTGACGTCAATAAAACGGACGCCCCTCCCACGATTGTTGATTGACAGGAGTCAGCACAGGAGTTTCAACACAGACCCGCCCTCGCTCGTGAGAGCTGTCAATCATAGTCTGCGCGGACCGGCACGGTCATTGTTGATATCAAGGGGGTAATCCATCGACCGGAAGTTGAAGCCGGCCGGGTGCCGCCATGTTGTAGCAGAACTTCACTTGCGTTAGCATTTCCATTGACTCCCATTCATTTTGGCGTCACTTTGACAGCGAATAACTTTACATCTGAGGCGTTTAAAGACTCCATTTGTCCATTATTTATTTCTAAAGAAACACGACAATGTATAAAGTGCTCCATTACCTTCTATGTTACATTATGGCCCCGTAGAAACAGTTTTAGTAAAAATAGGCTAACGATTGCGTCATAACCACTCGACTCTCTGTCGCGCTGTACAGAAATTACCGTACAGACAGAAGGAGAAGCTCGCAGGCAATCGGGGGGACGTCCCGTCAAGGGAGAAGCCCATAGATAATGAGTCCATAAAAGCAACGGAATACTTACTCCTGCTCACTCACGCCAAAGAACTCTTTGCTCAAGTTCCCCGTCTCTGCAAGATTAACGTTGGCAATTTTCACGCACAGCTACTAGAAGATTAACGTCTGTCAGACAGGTTGCTCACGTCATCAAGCTTAGTTTGAGTCGGTTTGAGTCTGCGCGTCAGGAACGGAAGTGCTCAGAAATCGCTAAAAATGGGCTTCAACTGTCTCAACTGAGTTCCAATGAGATGGCTCTGTCCATTTCTTATACTGTCTATGGTTGATATGCTGGAGCACTTTCTATGAGCAGAATGGCGTCTAAGCGATTGTGGTGTTCTGTTCTTGGGTGTAATAACGAACACAGCAGTCATTTTAATGTTCCCAAATCCGAACCGCTGAAGACGCAGTGGCTGAGTTTGTTTTCGAAGGGAATATTCCCCACGAGCAACGTCAATGCTTTCATGTTTGCGCGAATCATTTCACACCAGACTGCTTTATAAACGAGGATCAGTATAAAGCTGGATTTGCTAAGAAGCTGCTCGAATAAAGGAAGAAGCTGCCATGAATAAAGGATCGGTACCAGATATTCGTGTTCCTGCTGAATCTCCAGAAGAACTGAAGTGAGTGAAACGTCTTATTAAACTTTATATTAATATTGATATCTTTGCAAATCGCTAGCTGCACGCTTCACAATGAATGCGGCTAAGGTTTACACATTACGGCATGTTTTTGACCAGGTAAAATAAGTGTTTTCTTACAATACTAATGAGAATTTTTAATTAAAGTATATTACAAAGTTTTAATTTAGACCCTAAAGAATCATATTAGCTTGTACAAAAATGGCATTATATGACCCCTTTAAGAAAATATAATTTCACGAGCACAAAGAATATAAAAATTATTATGTGATAATGAATATATTTATAAAGGAAGTATATAAGCATTCAAAAGGATATATGATTATAGATGTATTTGAAGAGGCAAGGGATTTTGACCAACCCTTCATTATCAAATTAGTGCATTAAGACATCAATTATAAATGATGTTTTATTAACAAAGTTCGGGAGGAGCACGTTCAGATAATTAAACCTAATTAAACACACGTGGAGCACATTCAGATAATCAAACCTAATTAGACACGAGTGGTGCTTAATCAACGAGTTAAGCGCTGTGTATATATACAGCAAACTTACCTCTGTTCAATGACAGTTTAACAGCATTTGGTCCCGCAGTACTTTCCTAACATGTCCGAATCAAGCTCTTCCCGTTTGATGAAGAATCTTTCGTCCTTCAGGATTAGGAATCTTTGCCACAATCCTCTGGTATTATCTCGTGGGCGTCAGGCCAAACAAACGGGTCCTCGCCACCGCGGGCGAAACATCCGCAATCTACTTCCGCGTATTTCTTTAAACCGGACCATTCAATAATTCCTGCCATAGAGAAATGGTCATAAGGCAATGCCGCCCTCTTAATTCGAAGGAACGGGTCTTCCTCCAGCCTCAGGACGCCCTAAGTAAGCCGCGCTGCAGATTCAGTCCCGGTCAGTCCACACTCAACATCTGCCGGGTCAACTGAGTGCTCAGCTCAAAACCTTTTCGTTTTCTGTCCCTAATTGAACTTCGCATCACTTCAGTTGTTGAATCACGAGCAAGTTTACTATCTGGATACTAATTTTGATCGGGGGAACACGCGTTAAATAGTTTCCGTACAAATGATTTGCCGTTCATTAACGCAATGCTTCCTTGTGGTAAACTCACACGTAAACAATAAGTCGCACATTACGTGCAGATTGCACACAGAATCATTAAGAACCTTTCGTTAACACTGTCCTGCAATTTATTTACAAAAATTGCTTAGAAACTTAAAGTTATAGCATAAAGGTATTTTTATTTATTTTAGTAAATAAAAAAAAGTAGGTAGGCTAGTTTAAACCCACAGTTTCACTATTGGTTTTTCTGATTCAGAACGAACAAATCGGCAGGGAATATGACCCATAGAAATGATCAAAATAAACTGAGAAAATAAGAACATTTTTCGTACGTTTAATAATCGATCTCTCAGCCCGTACAGTTTCTGCTGAGCTCGGGATTCCAATTGCACAGGTTAAAACCATGGGTTCAGCCTCGTCCATTTGAATTCTGGGCATTAACTTGGATACAGTTGTTTTCCAGGCCTCACTGCACAAGAAAAAATCGATAAGATATTTTTGATCTCGTCCACCTTCCCACTGTTCTAAAACGCGAACTGCTATCTTTGCTCGGCCACTTAAACTTCAGATGCGCATAATCCTGCAAGGATTTAATCTCTCACCTCCTCTTCGCGTTTTTGATTTATGCGCAAGAAGACGAGCATCGGCCCACCAGGCCCCAATCTACTCCTCCCTTTGCTCAGCCTTACACCATGGAACTCAATTTGTCCAGGTAAATTTCTCCACTGCTGCAGCAGTGATGTCTTCTCTGTTCCCGCAGGAGCTCATTTCTCCAGGTAAGTTTTCTGCTCCCGCAGGAGCTCTGTTTGGACACAAGTTTGACCCATGCTTTTTGCTTAAAGTTGAAGACCCAACTTTGTGTATGTTTTGTAAAATTCCCTTATCTGTCAAACATGTTTTATTAGTTTGTTCTGGCCTTAACGCAAGCAGAATGCTCTTTTATGAAGTTTCTTCATTGAAGGACATATTTAATGAGATTATGCCTGAAATGTTATTTTAAAATGATATAATATGACTTGTTGTTTATATTTGCTTTGTTTTTATTGTATTTATATGATATTTGTATTTTTGTAATTGAATTTTTGCCATGAAAATAGCTCTGAATGCCGACATGGCATTAAATAAAATAATCTGATCCGTTTCTCTGGCTATTTTCTCCACTGTCGCAGCAGTGTCGTCTCCTCTGCTCCCGCAGGAGCTCCGTTTCCCTGGCTATTTTCTCCACTGTCGCAGCAGTGTCGTCTCCTCTGCTCCCGCAGGAGCTCCGTTTCCCTGGCTATTTTCTCCACTGCCGCAGCAGTGATGTCTCTGCTCCCGCAGGAGCTCCGTTTCCCTGGCTATTTTCTCCACTGCCGCAGCAGTGACGTCTCCTCTGCTCCCGCAGGAGCTCTGTTTCTCTGGCTATTTTCTCCACTGCCGCAGCAGTGATGTCTCCTCGGCTCTCGCAGGAGCTCTGTTTCTCTGGCTATTTTCTCCACGGCCGCAGTAGTGATGTCTCCTCTGCTCCCGCAGGAGCTCCTTTTTTCTCCAGGTAAGTTTCTCCACTGCCGCTGCAGTGATGTCTCTGCTCCCGCAGGAGCTCTGTTTCTCTGGCTATTTTCTCCACTGCCGCAGCAGTGATGTCTCCTCGGCTCTCGCAGGAGCTCTGTTTCTCTGGCTATTTTCTCCACGGCCGCAGTAGTGATGTCTCCTCTGCTCCCGCAGGAGCTCCTTTTTTCTCCAGGTAAGTTTCTCCACTGCCGCTGCAGTGATGTCTCTGCTCCCGCAGGAGCTCTGTTTCTCTGGCTATTTTTCCACTGCCGCAGCAGTGATGTCTCCTCTCCAGTACCTCACTATTCAGAATTAATATTCCTGTTAAAACCCCTACGTGATGCCTCTTTCTCTGTCCAGCGAGCATTGGTCTCCCAGCGGACGTCGCATGCATCTATGTTTCCTCTTTCTCTGTCCAGCGAGCAATGGTCTCCCAGCGGACGTTGCATGCATCTGTTTCCTCTTTCTCTGTCCAGCGAGCATTGGTCTCCCAGCGGACGTTGCATGCATCTGTTTCCTCTTCCTCTGTCCAGCGAGCATTGGTCTCCTAGCAGTCATAGCATGCATCTGTTATTCCTTCTCCGTCCAGCAAGCTTTGGTCTCCCAGCGGACGTAGCATTCATCTATGTTTCCTATGTTTCGTTCGTGAGCCAGCAGGCCCTCCTGGTCAAGCAACCAGGCTTATTCTCAAAACGCCAGCCCGCCAAATTCTCTGCGTTTTGGGGGGTCTTTAGTCTGGCGGCTGTCCTTTGCTCTTTTTGCCTTTTGGGGGAGTACTCTGGGTTCGGGCAAAATTCTGAGCTCGGAGCCCTCCCCCCCGACAGCACGCCAAATACGCATAATCTTTACTCTGTTTAATTGATGTAAGTGTGAACTCGTGAAATGATGTTTTATTAACAAAGTTCGGGAGGAGCACGTTCAGATAATTAAACCTATAAACACACGTGGAGCACATTCAGATAATCAAACCTAATTATACACGAGTGGTGCTTAATCAACGAGTTAAGCGCTGTGTATATATACAGCAAACTTACCTCCGTTCATTGACAGTTTAACAGCATCCCTCCACCACCCCATCTCCTCACTTATAGTCCTAATACTCTTACAACAACGGGGGGAGTACTCTGGGTTCGGGCAAAATTCCGAGCTCGGAGCCCTCCCCCCGGACAGAACGCCAAATACGCATAATCTTTACTCTGTTTAATTGATGTAAGTGTGAACTCGTGAACAGGTAGATGTGTGGAGCAGGAAGAGGTCGAGGGCCGTGAGAGAGCGGCGCGAGCCCGGTGGCGTGATTGCTGATGAGCGACACCTGCGCGACACACCGGTCTCACGGAGGAGCGGGACCATACAAGGAGGGCCAAAGACAGTGGAAAGAGGATGCCTGGACTTGTGTTGTGTTTGTTTTATTATATGTGGCAGTGGCAGCAGTCTTCCGTGAGTGGCTGCTGTATTTTACTTTCGTTTGTTATTTAAATGTTTATTTTATTATTAAATTGTGTGTTGAATGTTCGCCAGTTCCCGCCTCCTTCTTCCCACAACATCTTGCATTTCAGTATAGGCTACATTATGTAACTTTTTGTTTAAAAATTAACAACATTTAAAGGAATCAATACGTCAATCAAGATCAATATAACCATCGTTCCAAAAAGTGTTTTTGTCTTACCCTGATTAAGCCTATTACAAGTGTTTTATATTTTAGGATGTTTTTTGCAGGAAATTCCATACATACGTCAATTGCGTGTCTGCTTATATTTCGTAAATAGAGAAAAGTTACTCTGGCTACTTTGGTGCGTAGCCTATATGGTGTAGGAGTGTCAGGTTAGTTGTCACAAAGATGAAACAGGTTGACATGTAGCAGCTAAATCTCAGACCTCCAGAGAATAACCCATAAAAAAATAATAAAAATTGAGAAAGCGACAGAGTTCATAATAAAAGGAGAATCAACATTGCGGGATTTGAAATGTTGTCAAATTGATGGCATTTTATTACTCAACAGCTGATAAGGTGATTTTCTTGAACAGATAAATTGCCATTCAGTAGGCCTATATAGCTCATCCAAACCGCCAAATCCAGCACAACCAGCAAATCCTTCAAAACCTCCAAAGTCCATTAAAAGTGAATGACTACTTGTGCTGCTCTGTGATGACCCTCATGTTCTGCAACTGGCTCTTTCTTGGTACCGCTCCATTGATATGCTCTTTAAAGGTAAGGAATTTGCAACAGTTAATAACACATTATAAGCAATGGTTGTTTTATTTATATCCACACATGGTAAAACTGAGGGGGGAAAAACTATGTATTTCCCACTCAGAAAACCATATATTTGTCATCCTCCATCATTATGTCTTGAGTGGACATAACAGCTTAATGTTTTTTCTTACACATTCCCTCGTTTTGTTTTTTATAATCAAATGGCAATTAGTTATTATGAAAAAAAAAATTTTAAATTCACAGGCAGTGAACAGGAAGTATAGGAGATATGTCAACAGAGCCATGAAGTTCAGCCACTGCTCTGGCTGGCTACAACAATCATCACCATAATTGTTTCTGTTATGTATTTGTATAATAGTTCTATAACCGAAGTGAGTGTTACATCATTAAACATTTCAGATCCATCCATCACAATGAAACAACAGCAAAGCTTGTAGCAGCAGCTTTATGAATGTGATACAATCTGCATTTGTCTACATTTGTTTTGCAGTAAAATGTATTTTCTTGTTCCTGTTTGCTGCTTATTAATATTAAACATTGTAAAGCAACTCTAAACCTTTGTTTGCGTTTTCATTGGATGTTTGTTAATCAAAATGATACGGACATTTATCTTTCCACACATATTATTATGTAGTTACAGCTCTGGGAATATACATATATATTCATATATATGTATATACATTAGACTGTCTCACAAATTGATTAGGTTGAATAGCTGTCAGCTGTTAAATTTAAGTACACAATTAGATAATACCAATTTAGGTCAACCAATTACCAAGCAATGCTTAATTTAGTTCAGTCTGTCGTGTAAAATTAAAGAAAAAAACACTAAGCAAAAAATAGTCAGCTCAAAGTGTCAGAAAAACATTTTGATCCCAATTTTTTACAACTTTTACTGGTAGTCCACTGTATGAAGAATTGTTGGATATAATATGTCACAGTTTACTTTATTTTGCTATCCTCACTTACATAAATGAACCATAGTGTCCTGCACCCACTTGTAAAAAAAAATATCAAAAATTATATTTTTAGTTTGACTGTATATATGAATTCATATATCTAGCTAAGTGCTTAAATTCATATATCATATATATAGCTTGTGCACTTAAAGGAGAAAAACTAATAAAATAAAAGTGTTTGTGAAGTGTTTATCCAGTGAAGAGGAACCATAAGCAATGTATCTTGATTGTTACTAGAGTGCCTGATAAAGTTTTGAGAAGTTAAAAAAAAGAAGAAGCATAAGTTAACTGTCACCCCCCTTTTTTTTTTGCATAGACATAAAAATCACTATCCAAACTTAAATGGTTGTAATTCAGGAATGCTTTGGAATATAGACCTATGGCTGGTCTTGTTTTGAAGAAGACATTTTCCATATTATTGTAGAAGTCTAGAAATGATAAAAAATGAAACAGAAAAAAAGTTATATAAGTTTGAGTTTATGAAATTGTGTAATGTAAAAATATAATTATTCATATTTTATATAAAATATATATATTACAAAATATATTTTACTCTAAAACTGCAAGAAAATTAAAGAACAAGTTGTATTCCAAATTTTAGGTTGATATCTAAAAAAATTAGCTTTCAGTAAGATTTTATTTGGGCGCAGTACCCAACTTTTTCACCAGACTCCATTACTGCCCATATAAGGGCGCCTCCATTTTCATATATGTTTTGAGTGATCTGAACCATGTATTTCCATAATTTTCATACAATTTATGAAGTAGACATCCTATTCAGAAGTAGTATGGGTGGTTTGGCAGTATTTGATTTGAATTCAACCTCTAATAAATGCATAAAAAGACTACGTTATAGCGTTATAGCTCGCAGCCAATCAGAAATCGAGAACCCATACATTTTTCTTTATATTTAAAACATTTTCAGACCTTTTTTTTTCTCATAAAATGGAATTGGTGTTATCTTTTGAACTCATGGCATGAAAACAAACTGAGGTTTCTACCAATCTTTCATGATTTTTCGTGTTTATTGTTATTTCAAAATAAAGGCCTAAATACTCCTAATGAATATGAAATATTCTTGTTGCAAATTGATAAATTAATGCTCCTCTGTAATTTATTTCAGATAACAGCCACCAAATATGAAAACTAGAGATTTTAAGCTTTCAAATGATATATAGTTTGGTAATATTACTTTAGGTTTTTATTAAGATATTATTGTTTTAAACATGCAATGGCAAATGCCATGCAGGTTAAGAGGATAAGAGTCACTGTGCAGTGGACAACTTTACTTCTTGTATTTCACTGCAACCTACTGACAAAATTGAGAACTGCAGTTTTAGACTATAAGTGTGTCATGTCTTTCTAAACCAGTTTTTGTATCATTTTCACATATGTTAGTGTCACGGTGATTACTTTGCACAGAAATACACAGCTGAGTCCTCTTCTGTCAGTCCGGACAGTTTCAGATACATCATGCTTTTCGATTCATCTCTGCTGATTTCAAGTCTTTCCTTAAAGGATTCTGCCTTGTGTCCACTTCCCGAACTGTAGCCCAGGCCCATCCACACAAGAGGTTTTCCAGCTTGTTGTCTGATCCAGTGCATGCTACAGCAGTCAAAGCTGAATCCAGATCCTCTACAGGACAGAGTCAGAGTTTCTCCAGGCTTTTTCTGAACCGTGCTTTCAATGGAGTCCATTTTTTGACATTGCACGCCTGTAAGGGAAAGTAGGGTTGATTTTTTTTTAATTAAACAATATATTTATTAAACAATATATATTGTAACATCAACAGCTGTGCCATGCACCTGTGCATTTGCTCTCTTTTTTTAACATGCTATTTATATGTGTGTGGGGGGGGGGGGGGGGGGGGGGGGATACTTGTTTTAGGGGCAGTTTATTATTACATATTGTCATGAATTTTAAAAGAATGTGCATATATATATATATATATATACTTCAATAACTCACAGTTTAGGTTGAACAAAATTAGTTTTAGGAGTATATTCTTCATCTTCATCTCTATTTGATGAGACACAGCATCACTTAACTCACTCAGCAGCATATAAATACTTGTATCATAATGGATTTAGAATTTGCATAATGAGGAAATGATGGAAGATCACTGAGATGACCATTAGCCACGGTTACAAAGATGATAACCAGAATCCAATGTATGAAGGGCAACTTAACATTGATTAAATTTCAAAATTGTATTATTTGATTGGTATGAATTTTTTATATCTATATATTTTGTTTTAATGTACTTAAAAGACCAAACCTAATATAATATGAATTAGAATGTTTGTAAACTGAACTTTATCCAGTGAAAAAAAAAAAAACATAAAAATGTTTCAAGATGTTGATAGAATGTCTGCAAAGGTGTTTAAAAAAAATATTCTGTGATTGTGTGAGTCCCTTTTCTTGTTGACTTTATTTGGATTCTACTGCAATTAACTGACACAAATGATAATTGCAGTTTTACACCGTATGTGTGTTTTGACAGTTTTAGTATTATTTGCACATGTTCATGACACTGTGCTTCTCTTGCACAGAAATACACAGCCGAGTCCTCTTCTGTCAGTCCAGACAGTTTCAGATACACCATGCTTTTTGAATTGTCTAGTAATTGTCTATTAGTCCCTCAAAACTTTTGGCATAGTCACATTCAGAAGAAATGTTCAATACTTCAATTTAAAAAGCTGTTATTTTTGTTTGCCTACTTAAATCTCAAAAAGTGGAAGCCATTTATTCAAACCAGATTAAGACAACAACAGCCATTTAGGGACTGACAAGTTATCATTGTGTGATTACAATTTATTGGAGAAACAATAAGAAAGAAAGAAACCGAAAAATATATTTGGCCTTTAGCGAGAAAACAGCTTCATCCACCCTATGACCATCATTCAAAAGTAACAAGGAGTTTTCCCTTTATGTCAAACCATTCACTGACACAATAAATGACAGTTTCAGGTTGTTTAAGGTAAATTACGTAGATTTACATTACAAACATAATTTCAAAACATTAATTCTTTCTGGTCTTTAAATGCCCAAAAGGTGGTAGATGTTGTGTATAGGAATTTAGATTTTCAACTGACTAACTTTCAAAACTATTAAAGTCTAAAAAGATCAGAATTTATAGCTACTTAATAGGCCTATATCATAATATTAAAAAGTTTTTAATGTGAAATTTAACCTGAAAGAGAAGGCATATCATTTCATGAAAATGACACAAACACAACCATGTGATAATGCAAAAAGAAAGAAACACGTTTCAGCCCACTCGAAGGAGTCAAAATGAAAATTATCTGGGGTAAGTCCCGAAACCATACCCAAGAGAATATATGGCCAAAGCTTAATACAGCTCACTGAAACACCCTTAAACCTACTGAACCGTTAAACCGACTCATTTTGTTAGTCAAAACATCAACAGCTGTGCCATGCACCTGTGCATTTGCTCTCTTTTTTTAACATGCTATTTATATGTGTGTGTGTGGGGGGGGGGGGGGGGGGGGGGGGGATACTTGTTTTAGGGGCAGTTTATTATTACATATTGTCATGAATTTTAAAAGAATGTGCATTAAAAGTTAATCTGTAAAAAAAACAATAAAATCATAAAAATGTGTGCATTTAAAAAACAAAACATTAAATAAAATGGTTTTAAATAACAGAAGTACAAGATGCAACAAAAGTAAAATCACCATTAATTTCCATAGCAGGGTCTGAATTATCCAAATATACACTGGTCAAATGGTTTTATAAAATGATCATTAAAAATCATAAAAAGGGGCTTACACTTTAAAATCTATCTTCTTTACCCTTAAATTGTATCCTTATAACAGCCATTCAGCTTGTACATATTTAAAACAAATAAAAAATAAAATAAAAATACACTTAAGTTAATAGGCATTCTGAATATCCTTTTTGGTATTTATATGATTTGAAAGATTACCCATGGTCGGATAATTTATAGAGGCTAATAGTGGTCACATTATTCACTTCCTTTCAAGAATTCTGATCACATTCCCACAAGCAATGAATTGGCTACCTTATTGTTACATTTGATTTAATCTTACTTAGCATGCACAAGCCAGCTTTAACCAAATAAGTCTAATAGGCTTCGAAGCCTGATATGTTCATTATGTGAAAATGTAATATTCATTAATTCACATAGATCATAGATTCACATATATTAGTGTGATCAAAAATAGCTCAACAGTCAGTGCAAGATTAAATTTACCGTCTTCATAAATAGGCTACTGAACAATCGGCCTAGGGGAAAACATAGTTTAGTTTTTCCTTTTTTTCTGTTTTAATAAACTGTTATGTTAAATTTAGTTCAATTTTATATGAGTTCCACTCTCTTTTTATATTACAAAGGCGTCCAAAAGTTTGCCCAACGTGTCTTGAGCACTTCTCGTTCTGCTGCATTTTGTTGATCTTTTTCACGTACGCGACAACAATTTAATCGCTGCTACTGTGTGTGTGTGTGTGTGTGTGTGTGCGCGTGTGTCTGTTTGAAGTAGTATGAATACAAAGTTAAGGCTAAACAGCAGGTTTTTCGGGCTGCAGTATCTGACTAAGATGCCAAACTCGACAAACTTGAATTTTCTGAATGAAACCCGAACACCCGGATATAGTCTTCACGTGTTAGTGAAAACACTGGGTTGTACCAGTAAGAAGAGTTATTTTCTGAGAAAGGTAAGTTTATATGATTATTTATCGTAGGCTATAGTTTGTCACACTTGGACGATCTTGTAAAGTGTTTCCGATCTGCATGTTTTGTAGCATGTTGTTATTTAAGGCTCTTCTCTGTTTTCTGTTTTAGGCTAGGCTATAGCCTATTGCATTGTTGTGGCTTTGGTAATGAGCAAAAAGTAATAATAGCGATGTGTAAACATACTGTGCAGAGCTGACAAATTATTATTAAGCGACATAGAGACCTCTGTCTGCATCTCTCCCATTGTGTTGTGTTGTAGGATTTTGATTACAAATAAGTCCTTTCTATTAAATATGTGAGGAAGCTACCAGCGAAATAATCTGGAGATAACTGTAGAAACAGAAAAGCGGGTGGAATAATCTAAATTAAACGAAATGGGCGAGGCTTCGCGGCCCGGAAGTTGTTTGACATTTGCGAGGAGCGTGTCTAAATAATAATTCGCCTATTTTAAATGGCCACTACGTATTTTAGTTCGAGATATCTCAGTGTCGTTATTTAATTATTGTCCAGACAGACAACCACTTGACGTCACCGGTGTTACTTTGTTCCTGTTACATGTGCTGGTCAGGATGGACTAATCACAATCGTTTGTGATTGCTGGGTAATGATTTGTAAACAGCTGCTATTGCAGGTTTATATTTGTGTCAGGTAGTAGGGAAATAACACATTTATATGATTTAAGTTTTAAGTAGAAAAAAATACAAATATGGCTAAATGGAAGATTTGGTTTTTAGAGCCCCTTACATCATCCCATGGAGAGACCCACTGAGCACACGTAGGCTACAAATCCAAGACGTGTTTTGCGCTTTATCTAGAAAGTTTCACATTCTAAATATTATGTAGGCTACACACAAATTTTGACCTGTAACCCCATTTCCAGCACAGGTGTTCTCACTATGGAGAGCCAGAAACAGGTGCTGGAGAGGCTGCGGGGTGCTTTCCGCTCAGGTGTGACCCGTCCCGTCCAGTTCCGTTTGACTCAACTGGAGGCCATGATGTCACTTTTTGAAGACAATGAAACACAGATTTTGGAGGCAATGCATAAAGACCTTGCTAAGGTATAAAAATGCACTGGTTCACACGCAAGTACTTTTAAATTCGACACACAAATGATGCTTTAATCTTGTCTGTCCTGCAGCCCAAGTTTGAGGCAGTGCTGTCAGAGATTGATATAGTGGTGAATGACCTTTGCTGCACCATCAGCAACCTGCAAACCTGGATGCAGGACTCTTATGTGGGCACAAACTTGGTAAGATAATAATACAATTCCACATACACTGATATTTGAGGTATAACACTGACTAAATAATAAAATGCTCCAACAAATATTGTTTAATGGAAACCTTCCAAAAGTCTAGTCAATGCAGATGTGAGGTTGATCTCCCTGAAAATACTTTAATTTGTTGCCTCTCCCTATTTCATTTGTGTTTCAGCCAACAAAGCTGGATGACTGTTTTGTGCGCAGGGAGCCATTAGGTGTCGTTTTGATTATTGGAGCATGGAACTATCCCCTTCAGCTAATTTTGTCACCTTTGATTGGTGCAATCGCTGCAGGTACCATCTATATCTTTTTCTGTTATATGGCCATGGTCATGGTAGTCTAGTGGTGTAATTTTATAGTATGTATTGATGTCGGGTTCAAATCCAATTATACTATAAATTGTATAATGAACCAAGCAAAATTGCAACTGATCTCGACTCCCAGTCATAGCCCTGCAATTTAATGTATGGAAAACGACCGAATTAACTTTTTGATAACACCGTTTGAGATGTATGGGTAAACCCAACCCCTAATAAAAAGAAAGATTATTATTTCTTCTAAAAGCATTGGACACAACGCAAGGCTAACTGCATCTTATCTCTGTGTTTGGAAGCGGATTTTGAGATCCCCTAACATGTTTCGTTTTCTCAAAAGGCTGATATTAAAATGGATATATTTAACACAAATCTCATTAAATGCTAAAAAATCTTCAGTTGTGTTGTGTTGATGGATTAATATTTTGTGCAATTTTCTTAACCACCCATAAGCAAAAACCCTGTGATTCTGCATGAATCACGTTAGCAAAATGACATATCTTGGCTTCAAAATGGTGAAAAAAAGACTTTGGGTCATTATTATTATACGTTAACCTATAACTGTGAAGCTTAATTATCAAAAAAAAAAAAATTTTTTTTTTTTTTTTTTTTGAAAGTTGTATTAAAGTGGTCATGAAACATTCTTCCCTACTGTGACATATATCTTGAAATGAGTATGGAGTTGATTGTATGGTTGTTGTGGTTTTGCTATTCCTGTGATGTCATGTTAGTGACACGTTGTCCTGCCCTCACGCCAGTAAACATGTCATCAGAGAAGAGATGTCACTGCAAAAGGGAGAGGAAGTTATATTGATTAAAGATTACAAGGGCTCATTAATAAAAATGAATTATTTGTTATAAACACTGCAATATTTCATAAAAAAAATAAGAAATACCCATTTTGATTTCATGCTGACTTCCATTGAAAAAAATCACAAACAATGCCTTATATCACATCTGCAATATGTTTAATGGTAATATTTTTTTTATTAGGTAACTGTGCGATTCTGAAGCCATCAGAAATAAGTCAAGCAACCGAAAAACTTATTGCTGAACTCATTCCTAAGTACCTGTCCCAGGTAATCTTTGGGAAAGAACCATATGATCTAACTTCACACTTCTTGGCCTCATGGTGCTACTGTGTTCATGATAATGTCTGTAATGTGTGCCATGTGTGTTTTGTCTTGTAGGAGTGTTATGCAGTCATTTGTGGTGGAGCAGAAGAGACCAAGACATTGCTGGAGAATAGATTTGATCATATCTTCTATACAGGTTAGAGTTTTCATTGTTATCAATGACAGATACAAGAAATGCTGTCACCTTTCCATATTTGCTTCAACATCTCATGTCTTTTTTTCCTCCAGGCTCACAGTCAGTGGCTCGTTGCATCCTGCAGGCCGCAGTGGTTCACCTCACCCCAGTTACTCTGGAGCTGGGTGGCAAGTGCCCTTGTTTAATATATGGCCGGCTAGACATGAAAGCTGCTGCTAAGAGGCTGGTGTGGGCCAAGTTTTTCAATGCTGGACAGAGCTGTGTGGCTCCAGACTATGTTTTATGCACCGCTGAGACGAGAGAAATGCTGTTACCTTTTATAAAAGAGGCTCTGGAGAGCTTTTACGGATCTGAGCCCCAGCAAAGCCCAGACATGGGACGTATTGTGACAGATAGACACTGGAACCGACTGGTTGAGCTGCTGAAAAAGTCTGAGGGAAAGGTAGTGATTGGAGGAGAGAGTGTCAAAGAGACCAAGTACTTTGGTAAGTAAAGTAATTTGGTGGTCATTGGGTCTGTGAAAGCGCTATATAAATGCAGTCCATTTACCATTTAAAGTATATAGACAAAAAGTTTGGGGTCAGTGAGATTTATTTTTAAGAAACTAATACTTTTATTCAGCAAGGATGCAATTGATCAAAAGGGACAGAGGCATTTATTATATTACATATGATTTTGATTAAAAAAATATATTAAAAAGCTGTTGTTGTTTTTTACTTTCAATCATTCAAAGAATATAGAAAAATATATATACCACCGTTTCCACAAAAGATAGGAATATAAGAAATATAAGAAATGATCTTAAGTGCCAACTCACTTATTCCAATTACAGGAATAAATAAATTACATTTTAATATATAGGCTATATATATATATATATATATAGGCTATATATATATATATATAGCTATATATAAATCATGATTAATTGCATCTAACATAAAAGTTTTTGTATATATAATATATGTGCGCATATATATATATATATATATATATATATATATATATATATATTAAATATATATATATATATATATATATATATGTGTGTGTGTGTGTGTGTGTGTGTGTGTGTGTGTGTGTGTGTGTGTGTGTGTGTGTGTCTGTGTGTGTATATATTATTGTAAAATCTCAATATTATTCTCAAGATTACTGTTTTTACTGTATTTTTTATCAAATAAATGCAGCCTGGGTAAGACTTCTTTATAAAAAAAATGTAATCCTTTTGAAGTTGTCCAACAGTGTATTGTATCATACTTGTATACTAATCTTACTACCTCTGCAGTGTGTAGTGTGCATTTTCTCTGATGACCTACTGAATTTCCTAAAATGTGCAGTATACATTTACATAAAAAAGCAGCTAAGCTAGTCATACATTTTGAATTCTCTCTCTTTTGCTTTTCCGTGGACTATCTCAGCCCCTACTGTGGTCGTAGATGTGAAGGAGTCGGATGCTTTAATGCAGGAGGAGATTTTTGGCCCCATTCTCCCCATTCTGACCATCAAGTCTCTCGATGAAGGAATCAATTTCATGAATGAGAGGGAAAAGCCCCTGGCACTTTACGCCTTCTCTGATGATTCTCAAGTAAGGAAGGAAAGAACAAAAGTCATTAACTAGATTAACACAGTAAAGTGTGAAGTAAGCTATGAATTTATGCATATCTCTATTTTTGTTAAGGTTGTTACTACAGTTCTGGAGAGGACCAGCAGTGGAGGCTTCTGTTCCAATGATGGAATAGCTCACATGACCCTTCCTGGTTTACCCTTTGGCGGGGTGGGTAAGTCGGAATCCATTTCTTTAATGTAACAACAACTGCAATGCATTTCTTCAGGTGAGTGAAGGCAAAATCTGACTTTTTGTTTGTGTTTGGCCCAGGTGCCAGTGGGATGGGCAACTACCACGGTCGCTGGAGCTTTGAGACATTCAGTCACAAGCGTGGCTGCATGCTGAGGGGCTGGGTGCTGGAGCGCGTCAATGTGCTGCGCTACCCCCCCTATACTGAAAGCAATCTCAGCTGGCTACGCTGGGCCACCACTGCCAAGAAGAAGGGGTGGGCTTCATGCTCTGTTATGTGAGGGCTGTTATGTGTCTGATGCTGACAGATTGCAACCAGGGAACCAAAAAAATATGCTTTGGCTTTCACCAATGTTTGGTTACAGTGAGTCTGGTCACCGTGCGTTTGGCCTGCATCACAAACCTTGTCTTTCGCTTTTTAATTGTGATGTCATTCAAAACAACACCAGAGGTCAGCATTGAGACAAGTTGCTTCTTCAGGATACTTCTGTGGTGAGAAAGATGCCATTTACTTGATAATAATTAGTTTTTTTTGTTACTTCCATTGTTCTAATACACTACTTTTATGTGTTTATTCACAACTGTTGATTAAAAAAAATCCAGTCTATGGAAATTTAATGAAATGGATCATCCATATTAGTAATTAAATACTGTAGTAAAAACGGGACATGGATAGCATTATGTATGAATGAGGTAATTTAGTATCATATACTGCTACATATTTTGCTATAAAGTTTAGGGTTTTCTATTGGTGAATATATAGAAGGAGCATTTATAGTTTGAGTTCTATACTTGATGTGTCATTTTCATCTGTAAGGTTGAGTACAAAAATAAAGTCTGACAAACATGTTTACCCTCAGGAAACATGATGGGGATTTATACTAGTTTGATTGCATTTGTTCATGTTTCTTGGTTTTGTTTTACTTTTTTTAATTTGGATTATGTTGCAACCATGAATTCATTAGAAAATTACATCACACACATCATGTTTCATTGACAATGAGTACGTTGAAAGGTTTGCTAAGAATTGTTTTTATGTTTTTGATTTTAAGTCTCTTATTCTTACCAAGGTTGTAATTCATTTGATAAAAAATACAGTAAAAATGTGAAATATTATAACAACTTAAAATGACTGTTTTCTATTTTCAATTTATTCCTGTGATGATTTTCAGCATCATTACTCCAGTCTTCAGTGTCACATGATCCTTCAGAAATCATTCTAATATGATGATTTGATGCTCAAGAAACATTTCTCATTATTATCAATGTTAATATGTGTACTTTCTGTAGAAACCGTGACACTTTTTTAGGATTCTTTGATGAATAGTAAGTTCAAAAGAAAAGCATTTGAAATAGTTTGAAACAATGTAAAATTCTTTGCTCACTTAAAACATTTTAATGCATACTTGTATTAATTTCTTTAATATATATATATATATATATATACACAACCCCAAGTTTTGAATGAGTGTCCCTCTTAATATTCAGCAATATTATTGATCTGATGCTGTTGTATGAGAACTTAATTGAGTTGGACGATGACAACACTATTTTCTTAAGAACTGCTTTATACAGTAGATTAAATAAACTAAATTAATCATTCATGATCTTCACAACAGAACTGAATCAACACTGAACTGACTTCAGCTGAAGAATGACACTACTTTCTTTAGAGCTTCTTTACAGCAGAAATGAACTGTTTGCATCCATGAATCATTTTCCTGTAATCACTGTAAAGCAGCTTTGAAACTATATCTGTATTATTGTATAAAGTGCTATATAAATAAAGGTGACTTGACTCTGGTAAACTATTCTGATTTCATGAGCCTTAAATTAGCCATTTGTACTTTTTCAAGTTTAGTAATATTACAAAGTTAAAAAGACAGGAAAACCATCCTAATTTACCCAACATTTTATTTGAATAAAATGTACAAACACTCTTGCTTCAAATCATTTTGACAGGGATTATATTAAACCGAGGACCACATTTACAATCCAAAGTATTTTATTGTGTGACATGGTAATACTCTGGCCAAATAATATACAGACATCAAGCCATGTATTGTAATCTTGTGTTCTTCTCATCTAGTTTGTTTGCAACAAACCTCATTTTTGCAAAGATATCTATGGCCAAATAATATACAGACATCAAGCCATGTATTGTAATCTTGTGTTCTTCTCATCTAGTTTGTTTGCAACAAACCTCATTTTTGCAAAGATATCTATATTTGCAGCATACAAATATGAGGGCAGACCGAGCGTCATTACACTTGTATCTGTAATGTCCAGATTCCAGTACTGTGTCTCAGGACTAGACTTAGTGAGACTTAATAAAATGAAAGATACAAAAGGCAGGTCACAGGGTTCAGATATGATGTGTGAGCTGGTGACTGTCCCCTCAAACATCTGCCAGACGAAACGCTGAACCAGCGATGCATTAGTTGACTCGCTCCTGCTGGGAGTCTATTTCAGGGTTTAGGTTTGTATGAGGAGAGAGGGTTGCTGCCGGACTGGCCCGGCTCAGAGGCTTGAGGCTGAGGGGAGGTGGAGGCGGTTGCAGGGCTAGTGGGTTCTTTTTGAACAAGTTCTGGCTCGTCTTGCCCAGCCTGTGGTGGATGAACCAGGACCTTGTCGATAATCCCGAAATCCTGTGCTTCCATCGGGCTCATGTACCGGTCTCTCTCCATCACGCTCTCTAAGCGAGGACAACAAAACTTGACGATGTCAGGAAGTAAAACAATTTATGCTTAATTACCCAATATAAAATAAAGTTATTATTATAATATTAATGAAAGGTTTGTAACAGCAACATTACCTATAATCTCCAATTTCTGCCCTGTGTGTTTGGAATAGATGTAGTTGATCTGTCTTTTCAGTTTGAGAATCTCCTCGGCCTGGATGGCAATATCAGTTGCTTGCCCCTGAAATTATAAATAGTGGCGTTAAAGTTTCGGCAAAGTTATGAAAGCAGCCCTCTTTTTTCTTCTTTTATCCCTCATTCTTACCCTTGCCCCTCCAGAGGGTTGGTGCACCATGATTCGGGCATTGGGCAGGGAATGTCTCATGCCTGCGGTTCCTGCGGCCAGAAGGAGACTGCCCATACTGGCAGCCTGGCCCACACACCAGGTAGAGATGGGATTTAAGATGTACTGCATGGTGTCATAGATCGCAAGTCCAGCCGTAACCACACCACCTGCAAGATGGAGACAAAACATGCTGCTTCAAACACTAAAAAAAATGTATTCACTTTTTTTATATTACTTATTCTGTCTATTTCAGAATTGTTTTTTGTTTGCTCATTATGACACTATAAAGATGTCACACTGTAGTGAATGAATGAAAATTGAGATACACATTTTTCACAAGTGTTGTCTACATATACAGCACATAGCAGTGCATAAATAAAAATCTAATTTTTGATCCACAATTTGCCATCTCATTTACAGTACTATGTTGTGACTGTGAATTCCCAAACAGGAATCAAGCAATCTCATCAGAAAATTGTAAACTGGACAGATTTAGACCATGCCAATGAATAAACCTGATAATCAGAGTACGAAGCTGCCAATGCAAGGTTTTTCTGTCAATGCACTTATGTGTCTCTCACCAGGACTGTTGATGTACATGTGAATAGGCTTATTGTTGCTCTCTGACTGAAGAAAGAGCAGTTGAGCGATAACCAGAGAAGCTACAGTGTCATCGATCTAGATAAAGAAAAGGACAGAAAAACAGGTAGGAAAAAACTGGAAAAGGCTTTTTGGAATTCATTTTAGATCATTGTGTGTTTATCCTTGCATTTGAACGTACTGGACCCATAACACATATGATCCTCTCTCTAAGCAGCCTTGAGTAGATGTCATAGGCTCGTTCTCCTCGTCCCTGAAACAGACGAAAGACTAGCTGTCAAGTTCCTGCAACACTGAAAGCTGCATCTTTAATAAGTTAACCGTTCGATTACAGAGAGTGGCTCTAAAGGTAACGTCTTGATACTATATGATCAGCATAAGGCAAGTAATTAACGTGCTTCTAATCTGCTCTTACCGTCTGCTCCACAACTATAGGTATAAGTGGACTTCTCCATGGCGCACTCAGATGAATGGACCGGTTGACTTTGAGTGCAGAAACACCACATTGTAAGACCCTCTAGAAAGACAACGGTTATTGTTGTGATGATCACTGGCCGAAAAGGGTCAACATCACGTATCCAAGGTCGTTGGACATTTTAGTGTCGAGCTTGAGATCATTGTGACGCTCACCAGAGCACAAATCAGCTTAATGACATTACTTTATGTGTCAATTAAAAAACGCAAATTTTGTGAAACCGAGCGAAACATTTAAGTCATAAACTTACAGACATATATAGTAGTTTTACATAAAGCAATCCTGCTGGCAAAATAATATTTGTACAATAGCGTGTTTATCATACATGTCATTGCTACTATAGTAAGGTACGAGTTGTTTCACATACTGAGACACATTTTTTAAATGAATTCTTAATTTACAGAAGGCGGTTTAATACTCACACGTAACAACATGTTTTTGTTGAGCAACCCTCACACGACCCCTATTGACCCGGATGTGATATATTCAGCAGCTTGATAGTGAAGCCAGAGACTCTCTCTTTGAAGAGAGGTATGGTGAAGTCGAGAAAGTGTAACTATAAAGTCTGCTGATGATGCCTTGTCTATCTTGGTGGATATGGAAATTTTTAAGTAAAACAGATAGCGAAAATAATCCATTTATTAGGCTATATGACAAGCTTTTCCCACACAAACACAGTATCACGGTATATAGTATAGAATAATTTAAAATTAGGCACATTCATATATTGGGGAATATAAGGCATAATAAGTGCGAAGGAGGCATGAAACTTTTTCCTGAGAAATTAGGTTTTAATTTGGTGGATTTTATATCATGGTGTATGTTATGTTTTAATCTTGTTAGTTTGTCTCTGATACCATGACTAAGTTACATCTCTTGTCTTAATCTCAATTGGACTGGTAGATATATGAAAATAAAATAAAATAAACTGAGACATCTTCATTCAAACAGAACAGGAAATATATTTAGCTGACTTTGGAGGCTCCTCTTGGAAAAGGGCTCTGGTGAAGCGGATCCACATGGTGAAACCTTTTTTTACAGTCTGTGGGTGAAACTAGACGCGAACGCAAGATGGCGCAATTCACTGTAGAGAGACTTTATTCATAATCTTTCCGTTTGAGTAAAGTAACTTTAAAGTGAAAAATGAATTGTCTTATTAACATCAATATAAAGTTATTAGTATTAATAATGCATTTACCCACTTAACTCATGTTTGCATTCGTTTGTCTTTGCCAGTGAAACCTAAAATTACAAGTTAATTGTGTGGACAGCAGACGTCCCCACGAGAAAAAAATTGTGTAATATAAACATACAAATAAATGAAAAGTAGAAAAAGTGGGTTGTGGGTAGAAAATAGGACGAGCTCATAAAACAACACAAGTCAACGGGTCTTATTCGGGTTAATTATTTAACCCATTTCTTGATAGTTTGTTATAGCTGTCCTCATGCGCAGTCGCTGAATAAAACGCCGCGTCGGTTTCGAAGATAGAGGCGCAGTTGAGCTAGTTGTTGCCAAAGTCAGTCTCGTCTTGACATTTGTTGCAAACTTTCCCCGATCTATCAGGAGACATGTCGAATAACAGCGCAAGCGGTGTGATGAGCCTTCAGAAAACCGTCAAGCAGCTGCGATTCGAAGCCGGAATCCGCAGAATTAAGGTGAGTGAGAATAAAAAAATAATAAGCCCAAAAGATTGGGAATCTTTGCTAACAGGGTGTGACTTGACAGACCTGTCGATCCTGTCCGAACATCCTGCTACTTTGTGTAATTATCGTTGTTTTAAAACATTTCTTGATCCTTGTGAGAGCTTTTACAACAAATCTAATACAAATGAAGCATAATACCAAAAAGTATTTGATAATACATATAATGTTTTAACTGTTTGCCAGCTTCTACCGGCTGGTTGTGCAATTACCTTCGTTTTCTTACTTGCTTTTAATCGGATGTAATCAAACGTTGTCACCTAACAGTATGTCTAAACGTTTGTAAAGTGTATAATAATCACAGTTCAACTTAAAAGGCTCCAACCTATTTCTCGTGCACAGTCGTGTTTGATTTAATACTGTCTCTCCACTCACTTCAGGCTGTAGCGCGCGCGCACGACACTGCTGTGTGTTGTGTGTCGCGCGCAGCGCACAGTGGAGCTCTTTGTTGATTGTGAGTGTGTGACACAATCTCACATTTGTTGGCCGGAATAATCCAAATCTATATTAGTTACCACTGGCCCCAAAGCACACTATTCTAAAAACAACACAAGGCTTTGTGTTATTAAATTTATCATGAATCAAATAAACTCTGTTAACTCCTGACCGCGTGATTTAGGAAAATGTGATGGCCAATAAAGCCTTTATTGCTCCACACAAACCACTTTTATCTGTATATATTCATCCAGTACCAGCCAAAATGTTGAACACCTTCTCCTTCAGTGTTTTTTCTTGATTTTATATTATTTTTGACATTGTACATTAACACTGAAGGCAAGGCAAGTTTATTTATATAGCACATTTCATACACCATGGTAATCATGAAGACATCCAAACTTTGAAAGAACACATATGGAATCAGTAAACAAAAAAAAAAGTGTTTAACAACCCAGAGTGTTTTATATTTTAGATTGTAGAAAGTAGCTTCATTTAGTTTTGATGACAGCTTGGGACACTCATGGCATTCTCTCATCAGATTCACAAGGTAGTTTGGAAGTCATTAATATTAATGTTGAAAATAATAAAAATAAAATAAATCCACTGACAGAGAAGGTGTGTCTGTCTGTCTATATTTTATTTAATCTCTCTTTCCTCCTAGGTTTCTCAAGCTGCGGCAGATCTGAAGACTTTCTGCTTGCAAAATGCCCAGAAGGACCCTCTCCTCATGGGGGTACCATCCAGTGACAACCCCTTCCGACCCCCCAAATCATGTGCACTCTTCTGAGGTACCAACAAACAGCTCAGTGTTACTTTTTTCTTTTCTGTACATTTCCTGTTTAACCGGAATTTGAGCAGGAATATGAACCTCTATCTCTCTCTTCCCTCTAAAGGAGTCATGAAGAATCTGGAGAAACTGAACATTCCTCTTTCACACAAACGTTTTTCACTACACTACACTCAGTTCCCCTTTACCCTACAGCAGAGCTGGATCAGCACTATTACACTAAATTTTTTAATTTGTAAGCTGCATTGTGACTTGAAGTCTTGCACGTTCAATAATGTGATTTATGAAGAAAACCCCTGAAAGGTGTTTTAAAAGTGTTGATTTGTATACTGTTAATTAAGGACATACTAGTGCAAAACTTACATTAGTAGGTGGTTTCAGGAGGAAATTAAAGTGCTCAGTTGGTCAAACAGTCCATTGGAGAAGTGATGGCACGTATGTAAAAATATGCAATACATTTCTTACGGTGTAGCCAAGTCAATTTGAATACCAGCCATAAACAAAAAAAAAGAGAAAAATTCTTTCTTGTTGTAATGTGTTCGGTCTATGATGAAATACTGAATCTCTTTATTTGTTTATTGATACGATTAGGCTTATACATGGGCAGTTATTGCCAATAAACTTGTGTATTTAAGGTATTGTATTAATCATTGAAGGAGAGAGATGTCTTGAATCTCAGGTTCGTTTTGATCAAGATTGATGCTGTTTCTGATATATATTCACTTTTCTTAATAATTTCTGAATGAGGTACTACTTTTTGGTCAAATGTATTTTCTGGTGGGTAATTGTTTCTGCATCATTTTGAAGTTTCATAAATGTTAAACAGTGTTTACACAAGAGACTCAAGTGGAGAATTATCTTTTTTTTCCCTCTATTTTTTACTGATATTTGCTCATGAAAGAGTGCTGTCTGGCTGTTGCACCTTTAGTCTATGAATTGAACACCACTGACTGTGAGCAGCATATCAGCTGGCCTGTTTTTGCATATACTTTCTGCCCTTGCATGCAAATGTATCTGTGCTGTGTCTTTATCAGTCAACCACTGGACATTCATGCAAATGTCATTTGTACATGGGTTTTTCTGCTGCCCTGTGTTGTTAACTTTTTCAGTCTGTTTACCTCATGTATGTCTTGCCTTTTAAGTGTGATCGTGCCTAAATGAACAACATCCGATTTGTGTGCACTAAGACATACTTAACTATATACTATACGTTTCTTTATAAAAACTGAATCAAGATGTTGTTCAAAAAATAAAATAAAAATGAGTCTGAACTGTTTGAACAAGATCACATTTGAATTTTCTATGGTTTTAAAAACAACAACAGGGTTATTGTTAACTAATAATAAAACAACTTAAAATATTGGTTAATTGAAATAAAGCTGACAAAATATAAATATTAGACTAAATGCAGCGAATATTAGAGATGCCGCCTTGAATTTGAAGCACTAAACTGGAATTGAATAAAAATGTAAATAAAAAAGAAACCTATATAGAAATATTTAAATAAGTAAAAAGCACATAACAAAATTACTAAAAACTAAATTAGTAAATTATAGTAACATTTAAAATGAAAAGAGAAAATATAAAAACAAAAGATTATTTAAAATATGAATACAACCTATAACAGTACATCTCCAATTCAGAAGCATACATAAAACAAACTTTATATTACGAAGAGAGGGGTGTGTACATATCCTCCTGATTTATAGCATTTTATTCCTAAAAACATGATTTCTTTTCTGGCTTTTGACAAATCTTTTGATTTCTGGTGTGATTAAAAAAGGAGATTTCCAAAATCCCCTCTGTAGAAACATTTATCACTAATATGTTAACAAAATGAAACAATAATTTTTTATCCTGGCTTTATTCACTGTTCAGATTTCTGTGGAAAGGTATGCAAATTACATAGTCTTGCATTTTGAAACGTAAAGAAATCATGTAATACAAAACAGCTGTCTGACTATGGACTGATTCATCCTTTTTTTTTTCATTCACCTGTGGTGTCCTACTTTAAAAGAGATAACATCGTTTTCACGTACTGTACAATAAAGCAGGTTTCCAAGCCACACATTTCCTGTATCATGTTTATTAGTAATACTCCTGCTTTTTTTCTTAGTAATACATATCATGTATTAAATTGAACTACAGAAAAAAAAGAAGATGTGGCCATGTGGAGGCAGTAGTAAGTCAGGCCTAGTATCTTGACCATTGACTCCTCCAGGGGAGATCTGAGCCGCTGCGAGCTGCCTGCATGACTCTCCCCAGATCGAAGATGGCGGTGTCCGTGTTCCCAGGCGTGCGCCTCCTCTCCATCGGAGACGCCAATGGAGACATACAGCGACATTCAGAGCAGCAGCCTCTGCGACTAGAGATCAAAACCAACCAGGACGCGGCTCTCATAAGCCTCTCGAACAGTGAGTAGATGCTGGCTTTAAACTCTTTGCATCCGGCCTCAGCTGAGCGGTGTATCCTAGCTTAGCTTAATGAGAGTGATGTGCGTGCGGCATGTGCGTGTGTTGCAACCCCTGATCACAGGGACAGGCTGCTTTTGAGTTGTGACCTCAGATGCGGCTCTCGTGCCCGTGTATGCTCTCTAAAACATGTAAAGTAGCTGGAGCCAGGGCTTCGGTTGTAACATGTATGCCACAAACCACGTTGATCGTAGCATGTTAGCATCCGTAAACACTTCGTATTGTGTTAAGTTGCTTATAGTTAGCAGCTACCCAGCTAATACGCACGAGATTCAGGAATCCAGCACTGAGTGCGTTTCTACAGTATACAATATAAATGCATGTCCTGTGCATGAGGTTTTTCCCCAGATGTATGTCCTGTGCATTCAGGCTTTCTTCCAGACATTTATTAACTGGTAGTAAGGAAAGATTTGGATAATGTGGATTGGCGCCTACAAAGTTAGCCGCAGTCTGAGTTAAACCTTGAGTCATACTATCACTCTTCAGAAACCTCTTTGGTTATGATTTGCGTTGGTTTTATTTATGTAAACATTGATGTGTTTATTGAAATTGTTTTAACCTGGTTGGATGCTGGGCTGAATGGATGCTGTGAGTTTACTTGATTGATTGCGCATTTCTGCGCCACCTCTCTACTTTTACTATACTGTACCATGAAACACAGTCCGGTTGTGTTTCTCTTTCTCAAAGTGCAGAAAACATTGCGAAAGTAATGTAAAATTACGCGGAGGTTTCTTACGGCAGCACCGTTTGGCCATTCATCTTTGTTCTGCGGGGAACAATAGCGGGTCCCCCGCCTCCTTTTCTCCAGTGTCCCGCCTGTTCATTCAGTTCTCAGGGCTTTTGTTTGGAGCCTCATGCGCTGCCGATGTCCCGTGGATGAGATGAATGTCTTACTGAAGCAGATGCGTGACCCACAACCCATAGATTTCCTATTTAAAAGTTTTGATTCCTCGAGCCCCAAATGCATGCCTCTAATCCCCAAATTCAACCCTCAGCATTTTTTTCGTCGAAAGCCCAAGTTTATTCAGAGAATTAAATATGAGAGAGGGATATTTTGCGCGTTGTATGCATACACGTGAGATATAGCCTACGCTCTTAAATATTCATTGTTGTGTATAATGAGATGGTAATCTGCTGAAGGTTTTCTTTTTGCATTTCACAAAGAAATTAACATTTTGTGGAAATATAAAAATGATTTACACTGGTGTGAGATGAATTAATAAAGTTGACGTCACATGGGCGATCTTGTTGTGCAATTGACAGGGTTAATAATGATGATACTAATAATGTATTTGTTTTGTACTTTTAGCCAGTGCTCAAGGTGCTTTACAAAGCTTAAACAAAACAAATTGTGTGAAATTCATCGTTCCAGACGGAATAAGTATGGGTTGGGAAAATAAAATGGCCAAATAAATTGATTCTATATACTGTATGTTAGCAAATAAAAACATGTTGAGTGCAACTTTAAGGAACTAATTCCTCTCTTCCACACTCTTGTTAATTCATGTTTGTATAGCACTTTGTTTCTTTCACTTTCACTGTGTTTCACCTGTTGTCTCTTTAGCTTGTTGTAAACAGTCTTTTAGGCCATTCGTTATGAACAGTAGATGCCAAGAACCACTCCTGTTCTAATGCTTGGATTTTCATGGCTTCAGTGCCTTGCCCCTGTTTCAGAGTAATTTTCTTAAATTACTGTAGAGAGAGAGAGAGAGAGTAACTTTACTTGTTTTCAACTCCATTATATAAATTAATACTAGCCTAATCTGTCTATGGACAGCCTGACCTAATCCTACAACAGCTGGGGTAATAAATGACAAAATCCCTCACCCTGGCATTACCGATTACTGTTGCAGTGATTAGAAGGCCAGGGTGTCTTTGAACAGGACTAATTTGGTTTGCTTGGCTTCATTTTTGTTTAGGTTGTAGTAGTAACCTTTAAGGAGCTAGCCTAATGTAGTTTTTAAATAAAGCTAAAATGTATTTTGTTGTTTTTATTGTTAAATTGAACTTTCTACTGACCCATCTTAAAGCGATGGTTCACCCAAAAAGCGAACATTCTGTCATTTACTCTCCTTCATGTTGTTCCAAACCTGTATGACTTTTTTTTCCTGTGGAACACAATTGTTTGTTTATGAAGAATGTCTATCTATCTATCTATCTATCTATCTATCTATCTATCTATCTATCTATCTATCTATCTATCATTTGTCAACTCATTTATTCTGTTTTTCTTCAATGAATATCAAACATTGATCTTTTTTGGGCAGGACTGTCTGTTTGTTTTAATATGAATTAGTATAAATTGATTATCATACATGAATATTAATATCGTGTAATTGCTTTGCTTTTCTCCACAGACGAGGAGACATGCGTCTTTAAGTGTTCAGTATCAAGGGAGACAGAATGCAGTCGTGTTGGGAAGCAGTCCTTCATCATTACTCTGGGCTGTAACAGTGTCCTCCTGCAGTTTGCATCTCCAGCAGGTAAAGTTCACCTCCTTTTACAAGCGAATCACCCTTTACGGTGATTTATCAGTTCGCTGAGACATTCAGACAAGCACAGCTGCAGTCACTCATAGTGTACAAACTCATTTAAATGATTATAGGCAACCCTGAATAAAGAGATGGTGCTATGAAGCATGTCATCTCCTAATGTGTCCACTGTTGTTGTGTTTGCCAGATTTCTCGTCATTCTATAACCTCCTGAAGAATTGCCGTGGACACAGGGGCGAACGTTCGGTCTTCAGTGAGAGGACGGAGGAGTCCTCAGCTGTACAGTATTTTCAGGTTTGTTTTGCCACAAATCGACATGCATATGCAAAGGTGACATTTGATGAACCTGTTCTTACTCATCTTAAAACCTTAAGAGATCATTTTAAATGAGTTATAACAGGAATCCAGACTACCATTTAATCTCTAAAGTTCTTTTTTATTCTAATGGTCCAGCATCAACAGAAGAGACATGTTCTGAATGTCTTTCATTTTTATTCTCTCTCAGTTTTATGGCTACCTCTCTCAGCAACAAAACATGATGCAGGATTACGTGCGAACTGGAACATATCAACGAGCCATCCTCCAGAATCATACAGACTTCAAGGATAAAGTACTGTTATTTCTCTCTTTGTACTGTTAAAGGGAGGGGTCATGAACTTTTTTTATGTATAATGTGTTCTGAGGTGCAGTTATAATGTTAGTATATAGATAGAGCTAATAGGACTTGATGTTTCAATCCCTGTGGAAAGTTGACATACCGGTACCTAATGTCAGCAGTGAGATTTGAGTGGTACAAGGGAGGGTAGGCATATCATTGGAGTCATCATATGGGCATGGGTACCCTCCTAATATTATTTTTTTAGACCAAATATTGTCATAATTTAGAAATAAAAGCCCATTTTATACTTTAGCACTTCTGATTTGACCATCCTGTTGGAAAGGGGGGTGTCTGCTGTGAGACTTTAGTGTAAATGCCCACTCATGATTGTTTAACATCTTTGCATATGAAATAAATATTACATGTGGAACTCTCTCGAAATCTTTTTACTACGTTTTTACTATTACAGCTGTCAAGATTAACTAATTGTGAAAAGTGTTGATTACAGCATTATATTTAGATCTACTCCCGTCGCATGAAAGGTTGCAGAAACGAGCATTAGCCGATGATAGACAGTCTGTTGATTGTGTGAATGCAGTGATCTCATCATAGCAACTCTATTTCTGCACTCTCACGAATGCTTTCATCATAACTGATAGTGTAAACACGATGTGAATACAGTAAGAGATTCATTGTGCAGTGTAGACAGCGCCATTGATTAAAACGGGAGTTTTGGCGAGAGTCCAGAACCAGAATCCATCACTGATAAACTTGCGCTGTGATTGAGTGTTCTTTGATCACTTTCTGTATATAATTTAAATAACAGATTGTTTTCATGCTACTAAGAGAAACAATGTGAAGTTGATCGTTTATTCACTGGCTTGATTTACTGACGCATAAACGGCAATAAGCGATTTTAAGACAAAGAACGTCTGACTGTACATTAATCATTACATAATTAGAAATCACTGGTCACAGATCAGGCATTGGAATTTAACACAGTTAGTTACTTGTCGCATTTCTGTTGGGTTCATATCTTACAGTAAAAGTCATCACTGAAATTGCGACTGATTTACTAAAGAATCCACAATGAAATGTTCCGAACAAACAAATAATGCTCTACTGAGACAGTCACAATCACATAATAAATAACCACTTTCCTAGTATTAGGATCCTTTGGAAGGTGATGTTATTTTTAGTCCGGTGATCCTGTATCTCTCTTCTCTCCTTCTAATCTCACTAACGCACCTGTGAGCTGGGTCAAAGATGTGATGTAGACGTAGGCATTGATTTTCTTCTGCAGAGGCGGTCTTTAGTCGCACTCTTATGTCACTCTGTGACAAAATCTGGAACAAGAGCTTGGTTTCAATAAAAGCTATTTTTGGGCTAACAAGGAAATTTTGAGTTCTGAAACGTAAAGGATATTTTTATAGTATAATGACCTCTTACATGTCAAAAGATCATGGAAAATGTGATTTTCTCAATTCATTACTGCTTTAAAAGGACTTGGCATGGAGTTCAGTAGTTTCAGAACTGCTTTCTCTGAGCTTACCGTAGCATTTCTTGTTCTCTTTAAAAAAAAAATGTGTTGGCTATTGAACATTTTGGCTGTCATGACCTTGACTTTTAGATGTAATGTTATCCAGACCTAAATATCTAAAACTGGAACAGTTGACTTATTACAATTAGGTAAAACACTTGAGTCCATTTAATAAAGGTTATTCCTTTGTGAATGCTTCTCTGAATGCATTATTATCTGAATGCATTGATTCTTGTTCTCATTCCTCCGTCTTGTGTCCTGCTTGTCTCAGGTGGTGCTGGATGTAGGTTGTGGCTCTGGAATTCTATCATTTTTCGCAGCTCAGGCTGGTGCCCGTAAAGTTTATGCTGTGGAGGCCAGCACCATGGCTCAACATGCAGAGGTATGACATACAGATTTCTCTATCACTAACAAACACTACCATTCAAAAGTTTAAGGTCGGTGATGTTTTTTACGGAAATAAGTCTCTTGACAAAGCTGAATTCTTATCAATGCTGAAACCAGTTAATACCCGATTAATATTTTTGTGGAAACCATGATACATTTAAGGATGTTTTGATAAATAGCAAATGATTTATTTATTATTTATTTTTATTTGAAAGAAAAAATATTTTGTAACATGTCTTTACTGTCACTTTTATTATTTAATTATTGTATCTATTTAATGCATCGTTGCTATTAATTTCTTTCCAAAAATTCCTACAATTTCGATATCGATACAAGTTACAACCCTAGGAGGTTGTAAGATTGCCTTTGACCTTGACTAATCGAAAGTCATTCTAAGTAGTAATAGTAGTGCTAATAATTGTGCGTCCACAGGTTCTTGTGAACAGCAACAGGTTGTCAGAGCGTGTTGTGGTGATTCCTGGGAAAGTGGAGGAAGTGTCCCTACCCGAGCAGGTTGACATTATTATCTCTGAACCCATGGGCTACATGTTGTTCAACGAAAGGATGCTGGAGAGCTATCTACATGCCAAGAAATTCCTCAAGCCTAGCGGTAAGAGGAAAAGGTTTATTCAGTAAAAAGAACCAATCAACAAAAGATTAACATGTGCTTAGGTCATAACGGTGTGTAACGGTACACAAAAATGATGTTTAGATATGCTTTCGGTACAACAGGTGGAAAAATAACATGTTTTTTTAATTATTAATCAGTGGTTTACTGAACAAATGGCAGCAACACACAATGCAGTTTATGGTGCTGTTGTAATTCGGTGGGTTTGAAGTGCTGACACTTTTGGATCCAAAATATTTTAGAATAAGGTTAGAATTATTGCACTCCGATTCTAATCGGGTCCTTTTATTTGACACGCATACGTGCGCTAGCATGTACAAGTAACTATACTACCGTAAGATTCAATTTGTGGACTGAGGACTACGCATCAAAATCGTATTAAACGCATGCATCTGACAGTAGGGCAAACCATGCAGGTTTATGATTTAGTTTGAAGCGCTTAATATAAAGTATGTCTCATGTTTAAGACAGCTTGCACTTAACTGGCAGCAGCTCTCTGTGTCCTTCGTTATTTTTCAGATGTGTTCGCAACATCACTGTATATCGAAAATAAACTATATTTTCCCGTTTTGGGGGTAAACTCAACATTTTTAAACGCCCACACAGAGAACTTCTGCATGTGCAGTGGTTAAAACAACACTGTATTTGTTTGGTACACATACATGCGGCACCATAAGACCCTTACTGGGAAATTTTCGGTATGAATGCATATACCGTTAGACCCCCCTACTATTTCATCAATATTTGTACATATCACACCTCTGTTCTCAATACAGGCAAAATGTTTCCAACCCTTGGAGACGTTCACCTCGCTCCTTTCACAGATGAGCAGCTTTACATGGAGCAGTTTACGAAGGCCAATTTCTGGTGAGTTTTTTAAAAAGAGGATAAGGACATAGGAGGATAAGGGAGGGACAAAAGATGCACAATGAACAATGAGTGTTAGTAAATAAGCAGGCAGTCATGTAACGGGTAGCAGATGTCAAATGATAGACTCAAAGTGTAAATAAACAGAGATAGTAGCAGATGACTAAGACATAACTGGAAGATTTCTTTTGTTTATACTTGAAAAACTGAAATTTCCTGTCTTTCAGGTACCAGCCATCTTTCCATGGGGTGGATTTGTCTGCGCTGAGAGGAGCTGCGGTTGATGAATACTTCAGACAGCCTATTGTGGTGAGAACTGGGAGGGAATGACTTGCAGATTGGGTGTATGCTAGTTAATTCGTAAGTACATGCTAGCTTTTTAGAGTTAGCCACGGTTTGGAAAGTTCATAAAGCAGAAAGCCATAAAAACACATTAGCTTGTGTTTGTGCCTTCAGAGGAAAGAGTATACTGATAAATAGTGTGTGAGGTATGAAGGTAACTGGAGATTTGTCTCATTGCTGGCTATAGAGGGCTTGAGGGTAAATACGGACAGGATTGAGTTACGTACTTGAGCCCAAATGAGAACAGTGAGGATGTTTCTAGGAAATGGAGAAAGGCAAGGCAGCATGCTTCATGGATTAGGAAAATGTATCCATGGTAGTTTCATGATGGACACGGGGAAGTATGCATGCTTGCCTTTGTGCCCGTGATGAAAGGCTGGTCGAGGATTCTGAGCTCACTGTTTGTCTGTGGTCAGGGGGTATGCAATACATTTATATCCATCAAGGAAGGTTTATGAAGCATGTCTTTGTGAACAAAAAAGCATGTAATTCTAGTTGTTGATTTTCATCTAGGATCCTCAGTGTTTTGAAATCCATCAAAGCTACTTTTTCCACTTTCGTGCCCTTGTGAGGCCAATTTAACTTGTCGATTGTGTGCTCGGTTTTCAGTCGTCTGTGTGTATGGTTTATATCCAGCAGTAGTCAGCTGTTCAGGCATTTGTTGTGTCTGTAATGGTGTTACACTGCTGGGACAGTGACCTGCTGTGGTCTGGCTCTAGGGGGTGCTGTTTTAGCATCCTCCAGAGTTCAGGCTGTGGCGGGAGAGCCCTCTGAGCTAGGACTGAGACTGATTTACTGTGGCTCAGTCCTTGACAAGAGGCCTCACAGCATGTCGTCCCGTTTGATTTGACCCGTGTCTTCGTCCTCCGCATGCAAAAATGAGTGTTATATTGGGATGTCTTGCCACCTCTCATTTATTCTCTCATTTCTTTCAGGACACTTTTGATATCAGGATCCTTATGGCCAAATCAGTGAAATATACGGTCAACTTTTTAGAAGCTAAAGAAGACGATCTTTACAAGTATGGGTCCACCAAATGCATAATTATATTGCATTTAAATGCAGCCTTTTTATTTTAAAATATGGTATAAAAGAAGCGTGTTGGCCTGTCAAATGTTTTAATATATTCATTTCTTGCTCTTCCCAGGATAGAAATCCCCTTCAAATTCCACATGATGCATTCAGGGCTTGTACATGGGCTGGCTTTTTGGTTTGATGTCGCATTCATTGGATCAGCGTATGTTCCGAAACATTCTCTTTACAGTGATTTCACACTTGAGTCACCCCTCTTTCCATTAAATATTTTATTGGACTGTCCCACTTTTAATGCACATAGACAACATGTTTTATGTAGTAAGCTTAAAGACTTGTTTAGTGAGATCTTACCAGAAAAGTTTTTAGAATTGTTATCATGTTAATGTAAAACATCTTGTATAATATTAACTGCTGTTTTGTTTTTATTTTATTTATGCAACACTTATCTTTAAAAAGCTATAGTACTCCTATAGTACTGATCATGTTTGTGAAATTTGTATGTGAGGGGGATTTTTTATTTATTTTTATTAGGGCTGTCAGTTAAACGCGTTATTAACGGCGTTAACGCAAACCCATTTTAACGGCGTTAATTTTTTTATCGCGCGATTAACGGTCTTTTTGGCATAGCAAACTTTGTAGGTTTTTTTTCACATGCTTTTGCAACAGGACGACACGCGCGGCGCTACGCTATGAAACCCATTCATTTCAATGGCTTGGGCCGCGCGAGGACGTTTTGAAAGCGCAAGCGGATCTAGCTAGACCTGAAACAAAACAACAGGCACGCTGCACACACTTGTTTGGGCTTGCGAGCCGGATGCGCGAGCGCGAATCTCTCTGCTCGCGCGCGGAATATAATGTGCCGAGCACGAATCCCTCTGCTCGAGTCGCGCGCTCTCAGATACACGCTGCTCTTGTAAGAATTTTCTCTGGGCTCGCTCAGAGAACATGCCTGCACTTAAAACGTGTTCAGTGCAATCGCGAATCTCTCCTCTTCCCCAGCTAACAATTTTGGGTTATAAGAACGTTTTCATAACGTTCCCATTAAGTTATAAAAACGTTATTTCTGAATGTTATAGGAACGTTCAAAACGTCCAGTTTTGAGTGGATGACGAGCGCGAGACGCCGAAATGGATGCCAATAAGATTCTGAATGGAAAGTTTACTTTTAAAAAGTTGCCAAATGGTTCCATTGACAAGACCAAAGTGATCTGTGCGTTTTGTCGTTGTGAACTGATCATCATCGCAGCACGTCCAGTCTGAATACCACTTGATGATGGCCAGCACACACACACACACACACACACACGCACACAGCTGATGCGAATTCTCCGCCCCCTCGTCAATATCAGGACCTCGTCAGTATTTCTTTCACCCTTTTATTGATGGACAGTGTTACATTGTGTGAGAGAGATTATTTGCTCCAAGTGATAATGTTTTAGTGTGGAATTGAACATTATATGCCAATATTGTTTTCAATAAAAAACATTTGCACAAAGCAAGCCGATCCACTTTTCCATGTTGATAAGAGCATTAAAATGAGAAAAAAATAATGGGACAAAAAGAAATCAAGAGACATTTAGAATAGATAAAAATGTGTGATTAAATGCGATTAATCGCGAGTTAACTATGACATTAATGCGATTAATCGCGATTAAATATTTTAATCGTTTGACAGCACTAATTTTTATGTTTTGTAATCCGAGTATTGAGTAACCGGGTATGAACTTGTGCTGTCTCTCTGTACAGGATGACTGTGTGGCTCTCTACGGCCCCCACCGAACCCCTCACTCACTGGTACCAGGTGCGCTGTCTGCTGCAGTCACCTCTCTTTGCCAAGGCAGGGGACACAATGTCAGGCACTGCACTTTTAATCGCCAACAAGAGGTGAGCACACATAATTCTTTGTGTTACCCCTTAGGTCGTTAACGTTAGGTGGTTAACTCTCTCATTTGTTTCCAATTCCTCCCAGACAAAGCTATGACATTAGTATTGTTGCTCAAGTGGACCAGACAGGCTCCAAGTCCAGTAATCTACTTGATCTCAAGAACCCCTTCTTCCGGTGAGAGGACGCATCACTTTGGAAACCGATAAGAGGATGTCTGAAATGTGTGTTGCTTACGCTTTGCTGTGTTCTGCAGGTACACGGGCACAACACCCACCCCACCTCCAGGCTCACACTATTCCTCCCCCTCAGAGAACATGTGGAACACTGGGGGGACCTATAGCATGAGCCAAGGCATGGCTGTGTCAGGTAGCTCTTACACAATCATTGACTTCTTTTCACATTTACAGTAGTTGGCCACAATTCCTCCCATTCAACTGCTTTTGCATAACTGGAGTAATGTCACTCAAATTGTGCTGTTTCTGTCAGGGATGCCTACAGCTTATGATCTCAGCACTGTCATCGGTGGCAGTGGGACAACAGTGTCCCACAACAATCTCATCCCCCTTGGTACAGACACGCATGCACGTATGGATATTTACAGACACACACTCACACATACACACATATGTGGAGTGAAATGTTCTCTGGTGTGGTTCAATTAAAGATACCATTCACCCAAAAATGAAAATTCTGTCTCTCCAAATCCTTAACTTTAGTTCATCTTTGAAACACAAATAAAGATATTTGTAATATTCTCTCATCATCAAATCCATGCAACCAAAATTTCCACGCTACAGAAAGACATGGTAAAAGTAATCCAGAAGCTCAGACCGCATTGGTTCTCACGCATCTAGCAAGTTTGAGCTTCTGTGTTTACCATATTTGATGCTCTCTATGCGTGTTGATCAATCAATGTTTATATATGATTAAAACTTAAATTTAATCTGTTCATTATATAAAGCAGGGGTTTCCAAACCTGCTCATGGAGGGCCACTGTCCTGCAGAGTTTAGCTTACCTCAACACACCTACAAGTTTCTAGTATGCCTGGTAAGAGCTTGATTAGCTGGTTCCAGGTGTCTTTTTGCACACTACCAAAAACTTAAATACTTCAGTGGATGGACAAAAATGATGAGTGAATATTAAAAAATATTCAGCTATATTATGAGGATGAAAGGAATGGTTTGGAACAATATGAGGTTGAGTAAATGACAGATTTTTAATTTTTGGTTGAACGATCCCTTTATGAACCAAAGGCTGAAAAAAAAATTGCGATATTAAAGGGGCCACATTATGAAGGATCACATTTTGATCTTTACGTGATCATTTGAGACAAGAGATTATTATGTAATGTATAGCTTATTATATAATAATGGTTGGGAGAGGGTTTAATATGGCCATTAAAACATCTTTGGTGCAGAAAACAGATTGGACATCAGGGAAAAAAATAAATGTATGATATGACCCCTTTAATGCATTACATGTTTATATTATGTATCTCTTCTAAAACCCTTTACATGACAATAAATTTAATTGTTATTGAAAGGTTTTCTACACAACAGTACTAAAGTTTGATTAAGATTTTCTATACTACATTACAGTCAGACTCCTTCAGCTTCATGTCAAGTGTTCATGTGTTTCTTGTTAATCACATTTTCAGTGTGTGTAAATTGAAGAGAGGTGTCTTGTCTTTTTTTTCCCATCAGTGAACACGGGGATTGTGAACCACACTCACTCCAGAATGGGCTCTATAATGAGCACCGGAATTGTCCAGGGTGAGTGTCGCTTCTCTTAATGTCCTCACAGAGTTAAACAAGACCTGCACTTTTACAGATTAAAGTGATAGTTCATCCAGAAAGGATAATTCTTTAATTTACTCACCGTGTTGTATCAAACAAAACAAAAAAAGACTTTTGTTCATTTTCTGAACACAAATGAAGATATTTTTGTCCATTCATTGAAAGTCCATGCAACCAAAAATTTCACAGTTAATTACATAGACATTGTAAAAGTAATCTATATGAATTGAGTGGTTCAATCAAAGTCTTCTAAAGAGACATGACACGCTTTATATAATGAACCGATTTCATTTGTGTTATTAACATTGATCATCGCTTGATGTGCGAGATGTTGATGTTTCATGCATGAGAAGAAACCTCATTGGTTTGATCTCCTGTGATGATGAAAGAATATTAAAAATATCTTCATTTGTGTTCGACTAAAGATTAACATTTGTTGTGTGGGTTTGGAACGACTGATGAGTGAATGATGACAGAATTTTTATTTTGGAATTTTTTTTCCCCTCACGAAGTGAACCAAAAAAATTCAAATGGTTTCATTTTAATATTATGTTGCACTGAACATTTGTTCTTGGTGTGATCAGACTAGGCTTTTACAGTATAAAAAGTGTGTTGTGTGCTGAGTGCCTGCAGATGGATATACACTCACCTAAAGGATTATTAGGAACACCATACTAATACTGTGTTTGACCCCCTTTCGCCTTCAGAACTGCCTTAATTCTACGTGACATTGATTAAACAAGGTGATGAAAGCATTCTTTAGAAATGTTGGTATTGATAGGATAGCATCTTGCAGTTGATGGAGATTTGTGGGATGCATCCAGGGCACGAAGCTCCCGTTCCACCACATCCCAAAGATGCTTTATTGGGTTGAGATCTGGTGACTGTGGGGGCAATTTTAGTACAGTGAACTCATTGTCATGTTCAAGAAACCAATTTGTGACATGGTGCATTATCCTGCTGGAAGTAGCCATCAGAGGATGGGTACATGGTGGCCATAAAGGGATGTACATGATCAGAAACAATGCTCAGGTAGGCCGTGGCATTTAAACGATGCCCAATTGGCACTAAGGGGCCTAAAGTGTGCCAAGAAAACATCCCCCACACCATTACACCACCACCACCAGCCTGCACAGTGGTAACAAGGCATGATGGATCCATGTTCTCATTCTGTTTACGCTAAATTCTGACTCTACCATCTGAATGTCTCAACAGAAATCGAGACTCATCAGACCAGCCAACATTTTTCCAGTCTTCAACTGTCCAATTTTGGTGAGCTCTTGCAAATTGTAGCCTCTTTTTCCTATTTGTAGTGGAGATGAGTGGTACCCGGTGGGGTCTTCTGCTGTTGTAGCCCATCCGCCTCAAGGTTGTGCGTGTTGTGGCTTCACAAATGCTTTGCTGCATACCTCGGTTGTAACGAATGGTTATTTCAGTCAAAGTTGCTCTTCTATCAGCTTGAATCAGTCGGCCCATTCTCCTCTGACCTCTAGCATCAACAAGGCATTTTCTCCCACAGGACTGCCGCATACTGGATGTTTTTCCCTTTTCACACCATTCTTTGTAAACCCTAGAAATGGTTGTGCGTGAAAATCCCAGTAACTGAGCAGATTGTGAAATACTCAGACCGGCCCGTCTGGCACCAACAACCATGCCACGCTCAAAATTGCTTAAATCACCTTTCTTTCCCATTCTGACATTCAGTTTGGAGTTCAGGAGATTGTCTTGACCAGGACCACACCCCTAAATGCATTGAAGCAACTGCCATGTGATTGATTAGATAATTGCATTAATGAGAAATTGAACAGGTGTTCCTTATAATCCTTTAGGTGAGTGTATTGTATCCATTCTCAAACCATGAGGGTTGTTTTTTCGAGATGCCATGTTAAAGTCCCTGTAAAGTCAAAAGTAAGTATGTGTTCTGAGTTTGTCACACCACAGAAAAAATTTGTTATTAGCCACCCAGCCAAATTTGAATGGCTGCGCTGCGCTGAAACCACTGGAGGGTGAAGGCTGAGGCGGGAGATAGTCGGTTCGGCCCCATTCACCAGTAACGGCGGATTATCAGTGAATCCCAGTTGTCTCCGACGAAAGTTTACAAAACTATCCTGTGTAAAATGATCACTACAGAGGCGGGTGCTGGTGGTGATCCTCAGCTCTCCATCAAGGTGGCTCTTCACAAAATTAATCCACCTCTTCTTGATATGATCGTTTTTTTCGGAAATTTAAATAAGGACACTGATCTGTTTTTTAAGTGATGGCATCCAGTTAATACGCATTTCCGTGATGAAGGCATAGCTAGCTAGCAAACTGTAGGCTGTATTAACTAATAGTACTGACAGTAACTCGCGATTGAGCGGCGAACTGATGCGAATGTGCTCTAGTTATATTGTTATGGGAGGGGCCAGCCTCAGGGGCTCCAGTGCGTCATCGACAGTTGGGGTGGACAGTAGTAGGCAAAAAATCCTAAACACAGCAATGGTGAAAAACTGTTTAACGGTCTAACTCCACAATTCAGTACTTCACAGTCTTTGAAGCCAAAAGTGGGCGGAGCCGGCCGTCACCATCTTGGCTGTGCGTCACTCCTGGATAACAGAAAATGGGCAAAGAGGCGGAACGTGGTGGAGCTGAGGTGCCTGGTTGCTGAAACCACCATGCCACCCAGCTCAATGTGATCAAGTTAGCTCAGGTTAAGGAGCTAATGCTATATGCTACTGGCAGGACCGACGCAAGGGCTGTGCGACCGCACAGGGCCTCACGTTAAAGTATTTTAGCAATACATTTCTAACATTTAGAATGTGTTTAGAATTTTTTTTTTAGAATTGCCTTTACAGAGACTTTAAGTTAAAAAGCAACTATCTACTTCATTCTATTCCAGTCCGCTGTTCCAATTAGGTTTTCTTTTGGGTTTTTTTGTGTGTTTTTTTCAAGTCCCTGTAAAGGCAATTTAAAAAAAAAATTCTAAACACATTATAAATATTAGAAATGTATTGCTAAAACACATTACAAAGACTGAACTGTGAAGTACTGAATTGTGGAGTTAGACCGTTAAACAGTTTTTCACCATTGATATTTTACGGATTTTTTGGACGGGGCTAAAAGGGTACCCGATGACGCACTGGAGTGCCTGAGCTCCTCGCCCCTACCTGATGACGCACTGGAGCCCCTGAGGCTGGCCGCTCCCCTAACAATATAAATAGAGCACATTCGCATCAGTTTTCCGCTCAATCGCGAGTTACTGTCAGTATTATTAGTTAGTTACTACAGCTTACAGTTTGCTAGTTAGCTATGTCTTCGTCACGGAAATGCGTACTACCTGGATGCGATCACGTACAAAACAGGTCGGTGTCCTTATTTAAATTTCCTAAATACGATCACATCAAGAAGAGGTGGATTAATTTTGTGAAGAGCCACCTTGATGGAGAGCTGAGGATCACCACCAAAACCCGCCTCTGTAAGTGATCATTTTACATGGGATAGTTGTATAAACTTTCGTTGGAGACAACTGGGATTCACTGATAATCCGCTGTTACTGGTGAATGGGGCAGAAACGACTATCTCCCGCCTCAGCCTTCATCGTCCCGTCGCGCCGACAACTGGTGACCTCATCGGCAGTGCGTGCCCACCAATGAGTGTAAGTTGCCTTGTGCGCTTATGTTATAATTAACCTAATAAGCTGCTAGGAGCATCCATTCCGTCTGTAGCGGGTGACAGTTGATTGTGGTGACGGCAGCTTTACCACGAGTGGGCGTGGTTTCAGCGCAGCCAACGGACACGCCCCCAGCGTTTGAGAGCAGAGACTACTGCTCATTTGTTCAAGATTTTGATAGCTTATTTTATGTACTTGCCGGATTTTTTTATCATTCAAATTTGGCTGGGTGTCTAATAACACATTTTTCTGTGATATGACAAACTCAGAACACATACTTCATTTTGACTTTACAGGGACTTTAAGGATCTTACATAATTCGAAAAAAGCCTTTGCAGGTTCCCTATTAGCATTGGGTTTAAATCCAAAATATTGCCAAATAGGCGATTTTACATTTCTCTTTGAAACCAAATATATTCTGCCATCGTCTTGTCAGTCAGCTCCTTACTCGTGATAAATCAAATCCGTCTCCTGCCGCGGCTCTCGTTCGGTTCAGGCTGCATTGAGCAGACACGTTCAGTTTTTAATTGTAGTGTCTGTTCTCTAACTGAACTGAATGATTTTTATTACTATAAAAAATCAGAACGAATGCCGCCCACCGGTAACACCGACTATCGCAGCAGGCCTACTTTGGACTTTCTTGGATGCCAAGTCTTCATAAATGCAAAGGATGCAATGTTGCTTATTGCTTTTATTTCTTCTCAGGGGCCACAACTGCCCAGCAGGGTCCCAGCAGCAGCAGTCCTCATTACCCCGTTACCAACCAGTTCACCATGGGCGGCCCAGCTATCTCCATGGCATCTCCTATGGCCATCCCCAGCAACACCATGCACTACGGGAGCTAAGGCCAAGGGATGGCTTCTGCATGTCCAATTCCCCCAACCCTCTACCCCTGAAGATCAACCACAGCCAAATTCAGAATACCAAAACCAGTGCACCAGTTTCTGACCATCACTTTATATTCTCTCTGTCTCTCTCTCTCGCTATCTCTATATATAGATATACATGTATACGTATATATATATTCTAAACTCTTTCTTTATCTCACTGGTGTTTTATTCTTACATATCCGTCCCACGACCCTATAACGCTAGTGTGCACAGGCATTCGGCCAGTTCAACACGTCTGAGGTGTGTCATTGTTACTCTTCCCCTCCCCAGCCGCAAGCAGCGCCTGCTCCACACCAGCCACTAGGAGGCAGCACTTGTCTGTAAGCATGCTGAAAAAGCACAAACCAGAGACTCAAGACTCAACAGAAAGGACTCGGTCTGAGAAACGCTGTCGATGGGACACGTTTTTTTTTTTTAAATATATAAATGCTTTACAAATCTGCACATGTTCCCCCTTACTTCATGAACTCCCACTTTTTTTTAGCCGCACATACATCGACTGACTATTGATATGAATTGGAGATCTATTACAGGATCTTGCTACTGTTCATGACAACCCCAGCTACGTTGAACCTACTCTTCACTGTTGGCTTTTTTACGTTTCCAGCGACATCGACTGGCCATCGCATCTCGATTCTCTCAGCATGGGCTTTTGACAGCCACATTGACTCACCTTAAATGTTCACAACCTCTCATCGCTCACATGAAGAGATGGACACGTGCTGTAGGCTCGCAGAGTTCATTACGACTACTACCACAGTACCGCTGGATCCTGCCTGTAGACAAACATAGCGTAGATAGAGATCGTCTTACTTTTCATTCCATTTCTGACTGTTTTAACGTAGTGCAGTCCCAGATTATGTATTTTGCTTGGTGTTCCCTGAGGTGAATTCTGAGCGTGGTTTATCGAGACCGCTTCTGTCGACCCCGGACTCCAACGTGAAGCAAATCTGACTTATAAATTGACAGATTCATTCTCAGTCAATTTTAAGGACATAAAAGGTTTCAGGAATAAAAGGACCAGCATCAAACCCTCCACTACCAGCCAAGGAGGACGGCGGAGTGCTGGGACGGACAGTCGGCAACTAGGGGGAAGAAGACAGAAGGATGAATGATATAAACCGTGAGGTCCATGGACACACACTGACCGCTGCAGCAGGACAACTGTTTGGAATGGCAGTATCCTAGTTTACATCTCTTGAACCTTTATTTTGTCAACTTATGTGTGTTGTGAGACTCGTTGAGGAAAGGAGGAGATCAAGTGACGCCTGACTAGCTATAACTTTCCTCCTCATTTCCTCCTCTCTCTCCCTCCTTCCCCTCCCACACCGGGGATATGACGAAAACCCCATCAAAGACTTTGAAGTCGTATGCACCGCTTCCAGTCAAAAAAAAAAATCTCTTCTTTTGGTTTGAAATAGCAACTTTCATGAGATGAAAACAACCATGTCTGTTAGTTTGTAGAATTAACGTTTTGTTTTGGTTTTCTTTCACAAAAAAGCAACAGACAAAAAAAGGAGCAAATTAAATGTTGATGGAGAAGTCCCTACGTGTGGCTGCTTACAGTAGCGTTTATGTTTTATGGATGAGTGCAAAAAGAAAAGTATAAAATCAGACTTGATGGTTTGAGGAATCACGTGATCTGGATAGGTTGTAGATGGCTAAATATACATTTTCTGCTTTCCAGTGAATCAGATCTTAAACTGATTAAAAAATGAATAAATTCAGTACATTTTACATTGATGTTCAGTTTGTTAATATACATTTGGTATTATGAACTAACAATTTTTACAGTATTTATTAATCAAGGTTAATGTCAGTTTATAAATATACTATTGTTCATTGTCAATTCATTTGTTTGTGGTAATATATTGTTAATTTATAGCCTACAACTTGAAATGTTGTAGAAATTAACATTCTAAAATTCAAATTCTAAATGTAGAAATTAATATTAACCAAGATAAAAGCTTCAAAAGAGTTAATTGTTAGTTCATGCTAGCTATTGTATTAACACACAAAGCATTATTGTAAAGTGTTATTTAATATCTCATGTTGTTCAACACCCATGACTTTCTAGCTGTTTTTCATGAAACGCAAAAAAAAAAGAAAGAAATTTTGCTGCCTGTTTAAGCTGCTCTTTTCTATATAATTAAAACAGCCGGTACATTAATTTATCTGTCACGTAAAGCTATTGTATTTTTTTCAGAATACTGATTTTAAGGTGCTTTTATGCCCTTTCTTCTCGTCAGCCATTGGTCTCTGTCCATATTTTTTGTATGAAAAAGAGCAGATTGGATTAGTTTGTTGGAAAAAAGAAAGTCATACAGGTTTGGAGCAACATGAGGGTTTGGAAATTATCTGAACTATTTCTGGGTGAAATATTCCTTTAACTTCTTTCTGAAAAGGATAGTTCTGTCTTTGGCTCATCCTTTTGTCATTTCAAAACTACGAGTTTCTTCTGTGGAGCATAAAAGATATCTTGAGAAATGTCTTGGGGGTTTTTTCATACAGTGTAAGTAAATGGGCTTTCTTCAAAATATTATCTATGTTCCACAGAAGAAAGTCATATGTGTTTGGAAAGTCATGAGGTGAGTTAATGACATAATTCATTTTCTTTTTTGGTTGAACTACCCTTTAAGAGCATGACTTTATATAGCACGAAGCATACCTTTTCATATCCATTCATACCAAACAAGCTCAAAATGAAAAGGTCCACCCTGACAAAAATTATTTTAATCCACAGTGTTATCAAACCAAAAACTGCCCAGGAAAGCAAAATTAGATACTTAATACATGCATTTCCTCTCTCAATTTACAGAAAAATTAGACAAAGTAGCCTTGAAAGGAAAGAAAGCAGTCAGGGGTTAACCTCAAATCAGTTCACAGTAATGCAAGATCACACTTTTAAATTACTTCATTTTGAATAAAAGAAACACAAAAATGGACATAAGTGACCATAACACTCGAGGAAAATAATATCAGGCAGGTCACTATGCATTCAAGAAAAATAGTACAAACTAAAGTCATCAGTAAATCATTACTGAGATTTTACTTGTGATCTGATGGAGGTTATTTGATCTGCTGGGTTAGTTACAGACTAGAAACACTTTCAATGTTTGCTGGGAATGCATGTGTGCACTTATCAGAACTCATACTTCATTGCATTTTCCATGTCCTTTGAATCGAAAGACCCTTGAGTTCAGTTGGTCATTGAGGTTTTCCTGAGGTAAGTGATGTGTGATTTGAAGCTGGGGTAATCTGTTGTCCGGAGTGTGATGGTCCTGTGTACATTGCCACTTGGAAAAAGTAGAGCTAAAACGAGAGAAGAAAATGTATTAAATACTAAAGCTGAGCGTTTGTCATAATGGATGGTGTAATTGTCCCAGAAGAAATCATAAATGCCACTTAATGTACAATTGAAAGGGGAGTTTATGTTATATGTATTTCAGTCATTCTTAAAGGATACACAACCGTTCAAAAGCTTGGGGTCGGTTAGATATTTTAATGTTTTTAACAGAAGAACTCATGTTCACCAAGGCTACATTTATTTGACCAATTTTATATTTAAATGTATTCCTGTGATGCAAAGCTGAATTTTCAGCATCATTACTCCAGTCTTAAGTGTCACATGATCCCTCAGAAATCATTCTAATTTGAATCACAAGAAATATTTCTTATTGATAGTAATTTTGAAACCATGATCATTTTTTATGTATCTTTTTTTTTTTTTCAAAAGTTTTTATATCTTTTGTAACATTGAATGTGTCCATTTAATGTGTTCTTGCTAAATAAAAGAATTTATACTAATTTCTTTTAAAAAAATAATAATAATACTGACCCCAAACTTTTGAACAGTAGTGTATGCCAGATTATAAATCACTTGACCTTCTATTAACACCATCTGTTGTCAAATATCACAGAAAATAATATGGACTCGATCCTTTGATTTGTAAAAAGTAACAGACTTGAAAGAAAGCACAAAGCATATATTAAAATGTTTATTCCCTGTGCTATCAAACTGTTTCAAATAATATGCAATCTTTCAACAAATAGATAACAGGAATTATGGTAATGAATAACCAGTAGTTGCACCTAAAAAAAAATGTCCCACCTTGAAAGGCAAACTTGAGGAATTTTACAGCTCAAAGAAGAGTAAAAATGTTTTTCTGTGATGTAGCTAAACACTTTTAAGGTGTATTTAACCTGGAATATTAATTTGATGAGTTTCTCTCACCTTGCAGCCAACAGCCAGAAGAGCATGAAGTGACACTATAACTGCCATGGTAGCGAAAGCCGTTAGTTTTGTATCATCGCGAACAGCTGGCCAGAATGTCATGACCAACACGGAGCCAGAGATCACCATGGCAATGACAATCAACAGCCACTGGAGCCAGTTGAAGGGAATGGTCCATAATATCTAAAAACAGAGATCATGACTTATTGGGTCTAACATGATGAAGTTTGATCGTGTGTTTTTGAACAAGATCTCAAACTTACCGAGGTAGGGATATAAATGAAGAGAGAGTAACCGTAGACACACACGGTCTCTAAAAACGTGTAACCGCTGATCTGTCTCTCAACACTTTGACGCCACGTAAGGAAGCCCCAAACTCCTAGAGGCACCAGCCATGCATAGAGGAACACAGTAACTGCTGCAATCGAGACTAAAACAGAACAAAACCTTCTTTAGTATATTCATAAGCGAATGACATGAAAAGACTCAAAAAATTGGTTGTGGGTTCACTGAACCCAAAATCTGATTGGAGGTTCATATAATTAGTATGTAGTTGATGTATATGAATGTTACAAACAAATGTTAAGTTCTATTCTTTTTGTTTAATATATTTGTATAGTGTTAGGTCAAATCAGAAGCAGAATCGTTCTCTACAAATTCCCATCCCTACTGCCCTCTCTCTCACCTCTGTGGAATTCAGGTCTGTAGTGATAATCTGTGTTTCCCATCTTACTCAGAAATGTGGAGAGATTTCCACTGATGACCACCGAGAACACTAGAGTCACACAGATCCAGAAAGGACCTGACAGAGCAAGGGAAACAAAAAAATCAACTGTCTGAGAATCCAGCAAAGCAAAAATGCAATCAAATATAAATTGTTTGGGAGTGTTGTAAAGTGGTTTAAAATAATATGGTACGTTACCATATAGGTCAGGGTTACTTCGAATGTGGTGTTTGACGAAATTCCGTCCTGGTAAAGGCATAACTGAGCCCTTTATCCTATCCAGCACCTACAATAATAAGGATAACAGATACAATTACTAGGGCACTCGAGTTGTTGATGTTCACACTTGAATGTGGTAGCTCCAATTAAGTAAATGACCAAGCAACCAGGATCTCCCTTAGTTTAAAATATTAGTAATTTATCAAGATATGAGATATCAAGACTAAAATTTATAGTTACTAGTAATACTGTATTATGTTGCAGGTTATTTTGGAATGTTTGTGGTCCATTTTTTTGTATTTTGTTATGTCAGTTTCTCAACTCCCCTTATATTTACATTCACGTATTTGGTAAATGCTTTTATCTGTAGGAACTTGCACTGCTTGATGGCATACTTTTATATCAGTTCATGCATATTAGTTTTTCTGGGAATTGAACCCATGATCTTGGCGTTGCTAGTGCCATTCTTCTACTGTTAGCAGCACAGAAAGTCCTTTTCCACATTTTAAAATGTTTGTTAAATAGTTTTAAAAATAGTTACTAAATATATATATATATACAGGTTGTGGGAATTTTTCTTCTTTTTTTTTTTTTTAATCAAATGTTTATTTTTTTGTAATGTGTGGTTAATGTTAAAGGTTTACTGTTTTGAACCCATAGTGTGGTTTTTGGTAAATCATACTGAATCCAGGTATGGTCCATTTCAATTTGACCCACATATAATGATCATACCCAGATTTTTAATATAATACAAGGGTTATAAAGAAAGCCAGATGTAGGAAAATAACGTACGTACCTGCAATGTATCTACGTTGAAGAACGACTGATAGTATTCAAACGTCCAAAAACCACCAGTTTGTTTTTCACCTCCAAGCAACTGTGGGAATAATGAACAAACTGGCTTATACCATTGACCCTAACTAAGAGGCATGTGAAACAAGCAGCTACTTATGCCCTTGTTTGCCGGTTTTGTTCTGCAGCTCACCTCTGAACTCTCTTGCTGATTGTCTTCATCGTCTGACAGGTTAACTTTCACCTCTTCAGCAGCTGGACTGGAGATGCTGAGGGTTGAGGCTCCAGGATTTGAAGACAGGAGATCTGCGGCTTCATCAAACTCTGGAAACGTGCAGAACGAAGATTAAAGCAGAGAGACAGAGACAAGAACAAGGTGGCACATATCAGAGGCAGAATTAACTTACCCTGAAACTTTAAATCATCTGGGCTAGTCATGACTGGAGATTATAAGTCTCAGGGGGTTTTCATAAGAATACTATCTGCGAGGGAACAAGAGAATAAACATAACAAAATCATTCGACAGTCGTCAGTACTAAAATCAGATCAGATTTAGACTAATTCACTCACCTGGCTGCTACAATATGGTAACGTAACGTTAATCCTGCAGTATGCCAACTTCAACAATTTAGATTGTTTCAAGCTAGCAGGTAAAAAAAAACCAATAGTTTCGTCAGGCCGGATGCTATTTAACAGTATACTTTGATCAACTGATATTTAAAAAAAATCATTGACCGATTCGATTGAAGCCAGAATATATTTGATACCGTCTTAATAAGCAGGGATTTAACGTTATCGTCCCCATATTCCACGTCACCTGCAGGGTTCCGGTGCGTCAAAACACGACCACGTGACCGGAACAAAGCCGGAATTAAAACAGTTTTTTTTTACCTGTACATAATTATTCCAGTATATTGATGGCTCAAAATGAGGGATCGTCAAAGGCACGTTGTATTAGACCAAAAGGGTTTTGAATAAATAAAACCTCTGTGTCATATTTTTTGTTGTCGCTGTTGACTATTTTGATCAAATAAATTAAAGTTTCTGACTGTTATGTAATAATTAAATACTTTTGACAAACATATTTATTAATAAATAAAGATTATTAATTTGAATAAAGCCAAATATTCAAAATCGCAGACCTCTTTATTTCGTTTTTATGAAAGAAACTGAGCAATACCTCAGTTTAAATAAGGACAAAATATAAGGACAAAAACGCTTTAAAAACATTAGTTAAACAAAACACACTGACCCCTTCCCCTCTTTTTGTTTTATTGTTTTTAGTTTTTTATGGTGGAACGGAAAATTACATATTGTGTTTCCCCACCGGACTAATAACATTTCACGTACCGTGCGTCTCGCCATTTTGGCTCTTCAGTTTCACCTTCGCCACCGTTGCTACGTCGAGACAGTCTTGGAAACTGACTTCTGAAAGCTCTTCCTGTGCTATATCCACCGTGAACTGTCACAGTTCGTGAGTTCATTTGCTAACATGGCCGCCTCGTGGCTGCTGAAGAGATGGTGCTCCACAGCAGCCACAGTGACAACCAAGGGCACACGATGGCAAAGACTGATAAACAGTCGCGCAGGTAGGACTAAGCCACGCTTATTCTTTTTGCTTCGTACATAAGTTGAAAGATAGTTCATGCTCATATTGGCTTTAGGTGGTCAGTCACGTGAGTCAATTGTAGGCTACATTTCTTTTAGTTATCTGAAATTGTTGCAGTGCAGGCGTGTTAATTGTATCTAACGTTACAGAAATACAACTGGATTTGTATTAAACATATATTCCATTTTAATAATTGTTGGAATCAAGTCATTTACACACGATGACGGATAGGACACTCAAGACTCGCACATAAATCCTCTTAACTATCAAGAGAAAATTCACCAGTGGTCATTCTGTCAGAATCCAATGTCCTTGTCCATTTAACATATTTTGCTGGGCTGTAATACTTCTGGGGAATCTTGATACTTTCGAAAAGGTTTTTAACCAAGTAAATCCAAATGTAGTCTTAAGGTTTTAGAAGAAAAAAATACTTAAATATCTTTTATTTCGAATAACTAAAACTTGGCTTAACTTGAATAACTAAACTTTAATTCCATTCCATAGGAGATGGAATGGAATTAAAAAGCAGAGAAAAAAATCTGTATTTAGTTTGCTAACTATTTTTCTAACTCTGTCTGTGTTATAATGGCATTTAAGAAGATGTTTCCATATTGCATGTAAAGCATTTTTTAGTGCATTATTTTATGTATAATGTGTCAATGGGAACATGTTATTAATTGAAAGTTTATCAAGATCTGCTATTTTCTTCACTGTTTTCAGGTGTATGGTGCCGTAGTCTTTTAAGTGATTATAAGGAAGCTTGTCGCGAGGCAGTTGTGGGGGCTCGGGATCGACCCCTCAAAGCTTCAGTATACCTGGGTCTTTTAGGAGGAATGTACGCCTGCTATTACACCAACCCTGATGATGGTTCCTTTGAAACCAGCCTGCTAGAAACCTCCAACCGTCTTGCTCTCTTGTCACCATGGATACGCAGTGGCACCTCAGATGGACACGTCCAGACCCTCGTGAAACTGCAAAACGAGGGCAAGCTGCGCTATGCCAGTCTGGGCATTGCCTCTTTGACTTATCACACAGACTACAACTCTGAGTCAAGCCTGTATGAGGCGCATTGTTCAGCAATCTCTGTGCCCTGGACAGAGCTGCCCAAACGTGTGCTGGATGTGGGCTTTGTGGGACGCTGGTGGGTGCTTGATCATAAAATGAAGGATTTTGATATAAATGAGGAGGAGTTCAAACATCTTCCTCCTGCTCTGGTGGCAACAGCCCCCCCGTCTCCCCAGATAACTGAAAGGAATGAAAAGCTTCATCAGGAATCGTGGAAAGCTGTGGTGATGGAGGATGAGAGCAATGAACTAGATGGTATACAAAAAGACCTGGACATTTCTGTGAAAGGAAAGGAAAGCAACACAACATAGACAGCACAGACTTCTTGATGAACGTTAAATTTAATGCTGTATCTCACAAATGACCCCAGTGATCATGCTTGCAAGAATCAGCTGTTGATAAGAATTGAAAAGTAAAAGATGTTAGTGGGAATCATTATTATAATTTGTTTACTGTTTATGGAAGTAAGCAACATTATATTGTAGTCTGTTACTTTACTGCTAAAGTTGTGCAAATAAGTGTGACTGGTTGACTGCAAATACATTAAAACATCTGCAATGTATGCTGACCTTGTTTTATATGACAGAATAGCACAACACTAAATAAACTGATCAAAAATATATCTCTTTGTCAAATTTATTTTAAGAAAGTAACAATATTTTCCAATAATCCATCAAACACATATACTGTTGTGTGTATATACACTCACCTAAAGGATTATTAGGAACACCTGTTCAATTTCTCATTAATGCAATTATCTAATCAACCAATCACATGGCAGTTGCTTCAATGCATTTAGGGGTGTGGTCCTGGTCAAGACAATCTCCTGAACTCCAAACTGAATGTCAGAATGGGAAAGAAATGTGATTTAAGCAATTTTGAGCGTGGCATGGTTGTTGGTGCCAGACGGGCCGGTCTGAGTATTTCACAATCTGCTCAGTTACTGGGATTTTCACGCACAACCATTTCTAGGGTTTACAAAGAATGGTGTGAAAAGGGAAAAACATCCAGTATGCGGCAGTCCTGTGGGAGAAAATGCCTTCTTGATGCTAGAGGTCAGAGGAGAATGGGCCGACTGATTCAAGCTGATAGAAGAGCAACTTTGACTGAAATAACCACTCGTTACAACCGAGGTATGCAGTGAAGCCGCAACACGCACAACCTTGAGGCGGATGGGCTACAACAGCAGAAGACTCCACCGGGTACCACTCATCTCCACTACAAATAGGAAAAAGAGGCTACAATTTGCAAGAGCTCACCAAAATTGGACAGTTGAAGACTGGAAAAATGTTGCCTGGTCTGATGAGTCTCGATTTCTGTTGAGGCATTCAGATGGTAGAGTCAGAATTTGGCGTAAACAGAATGAGAACATGGATCCATCATGCCTTGTTACCACTGTGCAGGCTGGTGGTGGTGGTGTAATGGTGTGGGGGATGTTTTCTTGGCACACTTTAGGCCCCTTAGTGCCAATTGGGCATCGTTTAAATGCCGCGGCCTACCTGAGCATTGTTTCTGACCATGTCCATCCCTTTATGGCCACCATGTACCCATCCTCTGATGGCTACTTCCAGCAGGATAATGCACCATGTCACAAAGCTCGAACCTCGAATCATTTCAAATTGGCTTCTTGAACATGACAATGAGTTCACTGTACTAAAATGGCCCCCACAGTCACCAAATCTCAACCCAATAGAGCATCTTTGGGATGTGGTGGAACGGGAGCTTCGTGCGCTGGATGTGCATCCCACAAATCTCCATCAACTGCAAGATGCTATCCAATCAATATGGGCCAACATTTCTAAAGAATGCTTTCAGCACCTTGTTGAATCAATGCCACGTAGAATTAAATGTTTCTTGAGCACCAAATCATCATATTAGACTGATTTCTGAAGGATCATGTGACTGAAGACTGGAGTAATGATGCTGAAAATTCAGTTTTACCATTACTGGAATAGATTACATTTTAAAATATATTAAAGTAGAAAACAGTTCTTTTGAATTATAATAATATTTCACAATATTACTGGTTTTACTGTTGAGCATATAGTTTCTTCGTAACTAACCAATAATATCTTTGCTGCCTTTTCAAAGGAGTTAATTATCTCCATTAATCCCATTACCTTTGACCTTCTGTTTCAATGGCTGACTTTGATTCATTTTCAAGGGAAATCCTCTTTTACATTAATCTCTTTACTCTTCCTCTCTCAGGCTTGTCCTCCTCCATTAGTCTTTCGCTCGCTCCCCTATGCAGTCCTTTCTAAGATGGTTGGTATTGATTCACTGGCTCACGGAGCAGCATTCGCCTCTTTTTTTCTGATTGGTATCTCAGCTCCTGGAGAGGATTGTTCATTCTGATCGTGCAGTTCTCCTGCAATAAAGCATGTGAATGCAGAGCTGACCCGTTCATGTCAAACTAGACAAGATCATATTTTCAGTAAAAGGCCAAATAATGAAAGTAAGGGATAGTACACACTTAATGATGAAAAGCACTTAAGAAACGCTAATGAAAGTGTAGGAGCCCATTTGAAGAGGTTTCTAATAATGTAACAGTGGCAGACTGCAGGGGCTTATCTGTGTGTAACTTAACCCCGCTACAGTCAATGTTGAAATAATAATGTCATTAGGGTGCATTTACAAAATGCCTAACAGAAATATTGCATGTCACTAGAGACGAGTATTAATGAGAGAAGACCTATGGCTTGCTTCAGGCAGAGGCTGAACCATCCGAAATCCTAACGATCCCCTTTTAACTTCACCACTGTTATAAATGACTCTTACTGTTGTATATTGAAATGGTCACTTAGCATTATCAC